ACCTTTCTTGCGGAGGTGACCAATGACGTCACTCATCTCTGACGCTGTCAGCGGGAACAGAACAAAATTGATGCTCACAACTCACTGCGCACAAGGTACTCGGTAACCCGGAAGGACACTGCTCGGAGTTGTATAAATTTCTATGAATTTTAAATTTAAAGCGTCAATCCGGGGGGGACGCGTCCCTCCTCACTATTTGGACAGTCGTAATATAATCCGTAATATTAAATTGGGTAAAAGCTGTTGTAATTTCTATGTATTTCGTAATGTGATCCTATTAGGCTGTAATCGTATTAGGTTGTAAATTCTCTGTGTTGGTGTTATGTACTCAGGTGAATATATGATGTTTGTGATGTTACTCCGAGTGTATATCCACACCGGGCAAGCTTGAAAAATATGCCTGGCCACGGTGGGATCGAACCTACGACCTTTGGAATACTAGCCAGTTGGCAGAGCATTGGGCTAGTATTACAAAGGTCGTACGTTCGATTCCCACTGTGGCCAGGCATATTTTTCAAGCTTGCCCGGTGTGGGTATAAAGTTGGCAGAGCATTGGGCTAGTATTACAAAGGTCGTACGTTCGATTCCCACTGTGGCCAGGCATATTTTTCAAGCTTGCCCGGTGTGGATATACACTGAGTCACTCAGGGCAGTCAGGGGCCCCACTCAGACTCAGAGTAGCATCACAAACATCATATATTCACCTAAGTACATAACACCAACACAGAAAATTCATGATTATTACATTACATTGATATCGAAGGATGTTTGTGATGTTACTCTGAGTGGGAGGGGTGAATAGGTTTTCGGATCGTCGGATTTCACAGAAAAAATTGTTCGGATTTTGGATCTGGCGAATATTTTACACGTATTTGCGGATCTTATTAATACAGCGGATTGCGGATTTATCTAATATTTTGGCGCGGATTTTGTTTCAAATTTGGGCGGCACCGGGCAAGCTTGGGAATCGAACCTACGACATAGAATAAAGATCCATATAGAAGGGACACTTAGTTCACTTACGCCGGAAGCTTTGAAGTAAATGACGAGAAAATAAAGTAAATCGGAGCTTTGAAGTGAGTACTATGAATGAGCTTTGAAGTTTTTGACGAAAGAAAATGATGGAACAGCAAAAATTATATTACAAGTTCCTAGAGTAAACACTTTAACATTTCAGAACAGTTATTACTGCAGATCACGTACCCAGGACTTTTAACTGTTTACCATCACACTTACGGCAGTCAAATCTCTCAACTAGTCAGTCAATTTAAATGCGGCCTATTTAAATATTACCAAAAACTTGTTGAAGAGGTCTACGACACTGATGTTCCAGTGTGTGTACAGTATCATTTGTGTCGTCCCTTGTCCAGTCTTTCTGTCAAACTGTGTTGTCATTAGTTGCTGTTAACCCAGTGGAAATATCACTTTGTTAGAGAGCATGTGCAATTTAAATTAAATTCCTTTTTTCGATCCACATGATTAGAATTGCTCAGGACCACATTAAATCAAACGTCTCAGTGATTAGCGATTTTGAAGTGATTTATCCACTGTGTTAACCTATATTTCAGTATTGCATTAGCAGGTTACCCGTAAAGGAGCAACTAGCTCTGTGGGTTAAACCGGTTATGTGACAAAGATTGTAAAATAAAATAAAATAAAAATAAAATAAAATAAAATGAAGTTTCTGTCCTCGCGCATGTCGCATTACGCATGTTGGCCGCCATTTTCCTAGCCAGTCAATGACATTTTCTGCCCAATAAACACGCTGTACTGGCTGGCAGCTCCGCCTTCTGGCCAGTAAACTGCATATTTTTTCATAAAAAAAACGAGGACACGTTGCACCGCTGAGTGGCCCTTCTGTTACTGATCTTTATTCTGTGTCTACGACCTTTGGAATACTAGCCCAATGCTCCGCCAACTGAGCTACGCGGTCAGGTCGGTTCGTCGGGTTCGAATATGTGATATTTCGGAACTGAGTCTAGTTCCAGCTTCGCTTCCCCCTCCCCCCACTTTTTGGAATGGACAAAGTATACTTAGCCGTGGCTATACTCTATCCAAAACCTTGCTTTCGTGATAGAAACGTAACATTATTTGGTGATATATAATTGTATATATGATTTCGCGAATATGTCACCGGTAACATACCGTGGCGCACAGAGGGACATGCTATAATAAAAATCAGCCTTCGGCTTTTTATGTAAGAATTCAGAATTTCATGAAAGGGCTTTCGGAATAATTCCGAAATTTTCATGAAAAGGCCTTCGGAATTTTATGTAAGGGCCTTCAGAATTTTAGGTAGGTCTTGGTATATGAGCAACCGAAATACGCATACAATACTTCCATCTGATTGGTTTAATTTTTTCACTTGATACTTTTATATTCTTGTCCAAGGTACCCTAAGGTATACTGATTGAGGTACGCCATGCCGGCATGTGTAAAAGTATTGCGTTTAGGCCCTACATAAAATTCTAAAGGCCCTTACATAAAATTGTGAAGGTCCTTTCATGAAATTCAGAATTCTTACATAAAATTCTAAAGGCCTTTTTATATTAATTTAATTTAAAATTAATATAAAAAGGCCTTCAGAATTTTATGTAAGAATTTAAAATTTATAGCATGTCCCCTGTGGGCAATATTGGGCATGTCTCCTGTCAATATTTATAGCATGTCCCCTGTGGGCTACCGTAGTAACAAGACAAAGGGCTCAAAATCATAGAGGTTATAAAAGAATTTTATAAAATACTTTTATAATTCCACCGTTCACTGTACTAATTTTACCTCAATCATGAAAACGAGGCTCTAGTATTAGGCTTCATGGAGCCACCTTGGAGCCACCTTAATATTTAGGTACATGCGCAGATAAAAATTCTTCGAGTGTCATGGCCGCCAACATGGCGCGAAGTAAGTAATATAAAGTATATTTGTTGTTTGGGATTTTTTTATCTTCTTGCTGTCTAAGCTTATTCAAAACATGTTTATTTCTTTGCTGTAGAGTTGAAGCCATCATCAGTTGGTAGTCAAGACGACTGGAGTGTAAGAGAGAAGTTAATTTTGGCCTCTTCTGTGCTGCGTAGCGGAGATCAAAATTGGTATTTATATTCATTTTGAAAATGATGTTATGTTTCATATATTTATTGACGTGTCTTTCATTGGACGATTAATTTTTATTATTTAACGTAATACGTTAACATCATAATTATGATATTTTGACCTAATGCAGTCATCATATTTGAACTATTTTTGCCTCAAACTCACTCAAAAGCCAAAGCCTAGGGAAGACTATTAAGGAAGGCATGTACTAAAAGGCGAAACGTCGAAATGAAACCACCAAACGAAATGGCTGAAACCATCAAAACCACTGAAACAAAACCAGCGAAATGAAACGGCCGAAACGAAACGACCGAAATGAAACAAAACGGCCGAAACCACCAAGAATATAAATTGCAGAAATATTTATGGGAATTGTTTTTAAATTTTAAGGCAATTAGGAAGGGGGGCAGGGGTGCGGGCAACCCAGAGAACTTTGACTACATTAGCACAGAATACTAACCTATTCAGAAAGTCATCTCTATTGTGTTTTGCGTAAGCGCTATTCATCGATCATCGCCCGTCAGCAATTGCCCTAAACAGAAGCAGTCATCCCCTGACGTCATCGCCTTTTTGGGTATATCTGGGGGCGGGTGAATACTTCTGTTTAGGGTAAGGCCGGCGAGAGCCAACTACGGGCCCCGGGACAAAATGACGATTGGTGAACACATGCCCCCTGTCCCTCTCGACTTAGCCTGTGTGCAGGCCCAAGGGAACTGATAGTGGGCCTGCAACCATCACCGCTAGCTGAGGCGATCGGTAATTAATTAACCTAGCATGCAGGCCCAAGGGAACAGTGACTCATCACAAAGGCATAGACAAAGGCTCTCGATAAGCTTAAAATTTGAAAATTGATCACTTTTTTCGATTACAAATGGAACAAGAACAGACTGTTTATTGTTTACTTGAAGGAAGACATGTTTTTGCCATTATATTGCTTGTCGTGAGGTGTTGGAATAGCAAATTACGACTGGGGTAAACTATAGTAACCTTTACTTGAGTTTCATTAATTTCAAACAGACTTCAGTTGATACGTTATGTGTTCTCACGTCCTCAAGAAAATTATCTTTTGGTTGATGTTGAGATGCAGTTGCATGTAAGGACTGTAAACCTATTCGAAACACTTTGCGATTTACAAGGCTTCGCTGAGAGAGCGAAACAGAAGGCGGTATTAAATTGCCATTTGAAACGAAACAATCTGGACTCGGAACGCTCTCTTCTTTTGTAGAGTTCTTTACCAAATGAAATAAATTTCGTACTTTCCGCCGCCAACAAGAATTGCACACACGATCTGATAAGTGAGACAATTTATTTATAACAATGCCAATGGCGACAGCGAAGCACACATAATATAAATCCTAATGTGGTCGCACGACTTCCCTCATGATTTGAAGTTTGAGACTGGTTTTCTGTTGAAATTCGTCCTAATTTGCCTGTTCCGATTTTAGTTGAAAATGAGCACTTGCAAATTTGGCAATTACTGACTGCATTGCTTGCTTTTTTGGAGTTAAAACGCAGCCATTTACACATTGTTTATTAGTGTTCTGAATAAGCAGAGAAAACCCCGCAACATTTTAATGCGAGTTTGTTTGTTAATATTTGGATGCTGTCATTGGTTCTTTTTTGACAATTGACACGCGAATGGGGCGTGTTATGAAAAGGGGCGTTTTACAAAATACCAGACGATGGTTGCAGGCCCACTATCAGTTCCCTTGGGCCTGCACGCAGGCTACTCTCGACTCTTCTACTGGCTATTTTTAATCGCAATCAACGAGAGAATTGCCAGCGAATTACTTGCAAGAAATCGCAGAATAACTGATAAAAATGCAATGTGAACGATGTTCAGCTAACTGTTTTTGCTGAGAAAACGATTGAAAAATCATTTATTTCACATTTGGTACGTTTTACAATCGATGACGACGATCGGCGGATAGTGTGCAAGTAGGCATATTTCATTTAGGACAAACATAAAGCGATGATAAACAATACAAATATTTTACCGAGATTTCCGGGCCCCTCTGAGCACTCTGGGCTCCGGGTATTTTGCCCCCGCCTGCCTCCCTCGATCCCGTCCTGTGTTCGCGGCAATCAGCGTCAACAATCGGCCCAAACTTGTGTGTGTGTCATAATTCATTCCTTATACAGTGTCTCTTTTGGAGCGGGTCTTGGTGCCCTTGCTCATCTCCACTTTCTTAGGAAGTGTGATTGTGGTACTATAGGGGAGAGGTGTTGTTCTCGGCACTCGAGAACAGCTAGGTTAAATGTAAATACGTTACCAAGTCGTCGATACCTAATTTGTGAACGTGGCCATGACTAAATGCAAACTCTCGACCCACAGTCATGGCTTCGACCAAACTTCCTCTTCAAGGGTACTACAAACCGCCAAGTCACTTATCAGATATTTGCCAGTTACGATCGAAGCGAGCTTGTTAATTGTATTTAAAATTCACGTACGCATATTTGCGCATGCGACATTATTGTCGATTTCACATTACTTTTCAAAGCGCCGTTCCCAAGTTTGTTGTCAACTTGCCAATTACGTTTCCAAATTCGGAAGTTGGGCGGGAACTTTGCAACAAAGTTCGCAAGTTCATTTCAAAGTTCGAACTTTGATTGTAAACAAATGTTCATAGTTGGAGTTGAAATTACTGTATAAAGCCCTATGCACATATTACTGCAGTAAAATATTGGTCCAGTGATCTCCCAAGAGGAAAAATGCCCTTTTTTAATAAATTTATAAATGAAATTTTTACATTTGTTTACAATCGAAGTTCGAACTTTCGAACCGAATTTGGAAACGTAATTGGCAAGTTGACAACAAACTTGGGAACCGCGCTTTGAAAAGTAATATGAAATCGACAATAACGGTATCTAGGTTTACTGACGTAATCTAATGTTCAATTTTTCTCTGAAGACGGCCCGAGTACACGGAATACTTTTAATTTGTACTCGAGTAAAAGTAGAAGTAATTGACAAAAAAACGACTTGAGTAAGAGTAAAAAGTACTGGAGGCAAAACCTACTTAAGTAAAAAGTACAAAGCATCCTTAAAAAATACTTGAAGTACAAAGTAAAAGTACTATTGTCTGTAGCGTGTAGGGAGGGGACTTCTCCATTGATGGATTGAGATACAAAAAAAAACACAAAACAGTACACGCATTATAAATATGCAATATTTTACGACATGGTCTATACTTTCCAGACCCCGTTGAAGATATAAAAGAAATCCATTGATAGGGTTGGGTGATATTTCGATATTTTGATTTATCGCGATATTTTCAATCACGATTATCGTATCGAAGACAGAAACTTGAGCGACGATATATCGAAATTATCGTTATGCTCGATGACTATCGTGATATTGCTTCACATGTGTATATAGCTGTTATAAAATCCTAAAAAATTCTTTCAATTCCCTAGAAGATATAGTTTTTAAAAGAATTAAAACTATTTCCTGAATTAAATACGAATTGAATACGATACAAAAGCTAATATTTATGTATTTATGATCTGCTGAAAAATGGAATTGCAGGCTTTGCTTGCGCTGTGTGGCCACGGCATTTGTGCCAGCAAAGTGCAGTAGATACTGCATAGACAGTTCAGGTTTATGAACAGTAAATATTAAACAAATCCTTCATATTTCTTTAATTTGTTGTTTTACTTGTTTTTGGTAAGATTATATATAAGCTTACTATGTTTGATATCAATTAAAATTGAAAAATGTGGTCATTGTTTTTATTGCATTTATCGCGATATTATCGAATATCGTGATAATTTCCTTGACAATAATCGTGAGATAATTTTTTTAATATCGCCCAAACCTATCCATTAAATAAATAATACTTATATGTAGAGGCAGGGATGCCGGAATTGGGGGGGGGGGGCAGGAGGGGCAGCCACCCCCGTTGCCCTTTGCCAGGAGGGGCAAGGGGGGCAAAGGTGCCCTTTCAATTTAAAGGATTGCCTTGGCGAAATAGCGAATTGTCAGAAATGTTAGTGCGATTCTTTTACGAATTTGCTTCAGAAAACGCAAGAAATGCAGTCATCGAGCTTCAAGAATAGCACAATCGCCTGCCGGAGAACCCCCTCACACCCTTATCATCCAATCAATAGAAAACATGATTAGTAGGGTTGGGCGATATTAAAAAAATTATCTCACGATTATTGTCAAGGAAATTATCACGATATTCGATAATATCGCGATAAATGCAATAAAAACAATGACCACATTTTTCAATTTTAATTAATATCATTGCATAGTAAGCTTATATATAATCTTACCAAAAACAAGTAAAACAACAAATTAAAGAAATATGAAGGATTTGTCTAATATTTACTGTTCATAAACCTGAACTGTCTATGCAGTATCTACTGTGTCTCTGCTGGCACAAATGCTGCATTTTTCAGCAGATCATAAATACATAAATATTATGTGAAGCAATATCACGATAGTCATCGAGCATGACGATAATTTCGATATATCGTCGCTCAAGTTTCTGTCTTCGATACGATAATCGTGTTTGAAAATATCGCGATAAATCAAAATATCGAAATATCGCCCAACCCTAATGATTAGGCGAAGTTCAACTCCCGATGTTTTGCAAACATCTCTTAGTATATATCAATTCAAAAGTGCCCTTTCACGAAAATCTGCCCCCTTGCCTTCACATCGTTCCGGCGTCCCTGTGTATAGAGGTCCTATTACCTATCCCAAAATTAAAGTAAATCACGTAAAATTAAACAAAAGTTAGAAAGTAACGAAATACTTCGCCACAAAATGAAAATAACGAAGTAAAACGTTACTTCTTAAAATGACTTCGTTCCAAGTAAAAGTACTCCAGAAAAAGTTTACTTTGTTACATGCTCACTTCTCAAAAATATTACTCAAGTACAGTAACGAAGTACATTTAACATCGAATAAACTCGTTCCAATTAATTGTCGGACAAATCGCTTCAAAAATTCGTACATATCCCTTGTCTGTAACGATTTATAATAAACATTGAGTAACTATAAATTACATACATTTTTATTTGTAAATAATGGTAATATCATACTAGAAGTTCTAAACTCTTCCTATATTATAGTAAATATGTTTTTGTAAATATACATTATTTTTCTAATCAACCAACCAGCCCTTCAGGTATCCGTTTGAAGTCCTGGCTAATAATAATTTGGGTATGGCCAATACTGTTTTGCCCTACTGAGGCTCCGGCTATTAATTGATGAGTTGAGTGGTGGGCAAAGGCTTGCAAGCTTTGTCTATTTGTATATTGTCCGAGTGCAAGACTGGGCTAAAAATTTCAGCTTGTCATGACTGCAAGTACCGGCGAATTACACACAGCCTCTGGCGAATGGCTGTCATATGTCTTCTTAGCGCTGGCGAAATTCGCCGTTCGCCAGCCTAAAACAAGATGGGTGAACCAACCCTGTAAATGATAGATGTATTTCAACCTTTATGGTTGCAAAGTCTATATTTTATTAATAAATTCAAATTCAAATACTTGACACCACTGGAATCAAATTAAATACGTGGTGTAACCACAAATTGTTCCTTATTTTTAGGTCACTATTTATATTCCAAGCTATAGAGTGAATATCGATTTGCTAGCTTGGAATGGACAGAAACCGTAGTTTGAGGCCTTTGCTATATAGCAAGACCTCAAACTTCCAATGCACAACCCTCTACATCAAAGCTATAATTAAATCACTTCAGTAAATAAAATTGTCGGCAAGCAAAAGTGTATTTATCTTTTCTTATATTTTAAAATTTAGGGTTTCAGTGAGCCGAACTGTCAAACCTATTGCCGAGTCGGCATTTGGTGTAAAACAACGCCCACTTGACTTCTTTTCCCAAAAGGTAAAACCATAGGGCAAATTTATTTTACTATTATAGCGTATGCTGTTCGAGTTTGCATGCCAATATGGCAATACATATGAGCATGCTGATGTTGTACAAATCAGTTGTCATAATTTTGCTCCAGCCCACTGTCCACAGCCATCTTAGAATTTGATCGCCACTTGCAAAAAAAGTTTCTGCCGCACAGTTATCATGTTGGTGTTCTTCCAACAGCTTCTAAATGTTGTATTGTAAACTGTAATTGATAGCATCAATTGGAAAAATATTGCATATACTGTAGCAATCATACACAATAAGTCTATATTTCACAATCTATTGTCTTTAGAAAATTGCCGGAATTTATCAATGTCTATACACCATCCAAAGGCAAAGAGATGTCCTGCTGCCTAGGGTGAGGTGGTTAATCGATAAACCAGAAAACCCGATGTTTTTTTTAAACTCATTGAACCGATGTAGTTCTGGGACAAAAACATGAAAAAAATTCCGAAAAAAACTGTTTGAAACTCAGTACTATTGAAACAGAATATGAGAAAATATTACACTTAATAGTGGCTTACCGCTTACATATTAAGACACAAGTTATAAAAATCTATTTTTTAGGGTTTTTCAGACAGTTTTCGATTTTCGGTTTTTACTCTGAACCGCCTCACCCCACTGCTGCCTAAATGTTAAGTTACATTTCAAGATCCTGGCAAAGACACTGCTCAAAATATTCTGGTTAATTTTGATACTTGATCATTGTAGAGTTGTGCTGCTCAATATTCAGAAATGTTAGAGAAAGTAGCAACACCTAAGTAAGTCGAACAATATTTCATCGTAATTGTTATCTTTTTCTTTACGACGAGTTTTGCCACAAATCGTTCCTGCTTTTAAGATTACGTACATTCTAAAGTAGAATGTGTAAAAAAATGTACAATTTATTTCTTGTTAGACGAAAACGAACTAATGAAACTGGTGGCACAGGTAAGATGAATTTCTAATGTAGTAATGTGAATGTGTTTTGTAGACGCAACCTCGTACCCAGGCTATTTTCTCTTATGCTCGGTGCCACGGACCCTGGGTACGAGGATGTTGCAGACGTAGCTTGTTTAGGCCAAATAAAAATAATAGTGGGTTTCAGGTTTCCGACCGACCTGTCAAAAACATGACCGACCATAGCATAAACATTTTATTGACATTTCCCAGTAGTGATCATCTTTTCGTAATTAGCAGAATATATAAATAGTTATCAGACTCATTTGTCTACAAATTATTTTGTTTGCTTATAATCTAATCATTATCTAGTCATGTTAATCATAGTTTTATAAAACAGTTGAATAAAATATTAAAAACGTACATTATTCTCAGTATTCTGACATGGAAACTACGGCTGAAAAAATATGAAAATGCCTTGATGCGTTTGTTTCTCGCGAAATACATGTAGCTTGCATGTACTTTGTGGAACACATGTGAAAACAATAAAAACTAAGAGATTATAATGAGTTTTAACTTATATTTATTGCATACTTTAGATAAAATTTTTTTTTTAAATAAAATGTTTTTCCGACCTACCTACCCATATAAAACATGGCTGTGAAACCTGAAACCAACTATTATTTTTATTTGGCCTTATGTAGCATTTGGAGGGTGTAGCATTTGAGGGTGTCATTTGAGGATGCATGTCAGGGCTTTTTATCACTTATGCATGACTGGACAATTAGTGTAGCACAGTACAGTAAATTTCCTTGTTAAAGTACAGTATATTTGAACACACGACTGTATAACAAGTAACAACCTCGACATGTTTATGTATTTAAAGGCACAGTTCAGCCTTTTGAACGATGGTTTTTAAGGCGCATTTCAGCTCTTTTAATTGAAAAAACTAACTAGGAAAATCGATTAAGCATAATTCAAGATCACCAAACTCAATGTTTTTAACATTTTAAAACATTTTTATTGTTAAAAACATCGAGTTTACTGATTTTAAATTATACTTAATTGATTTTCCTAGTTAGTTTTTTCAATTAAAAGGGCTGAAATGCGCCTTAAAAACCATCGTTCAAAAGGCTGAACTGTGCCTTTAATTAAACATGATATTTAACAAAAGCTTTCTGAGTATTTTTTCGTGAGCTCACAAATTAATTAATCATTTCAAGAAATTGACATGCGCTAACAGTAGAAGTTAATTGCTATTCAAAAAGCAGAAATCTATTCGCTATTCAAAAAGCAGAAAATATAGGGTGAAGCAGTTTTTAGGGTGGTGCTGGACTTGCTGGACTTCTCTAGGGGGATGCTAGACACGACTACGTGTCGACCCATCTAGATCCATCCCAGGAGGGTGTAGCCCTGTTGGAGAAAGTTCGCACTATACTCTGCTAGGAATGTTCGGTATGAGAAATTTCCGGTATCGGTATACCGAAAAAATTATACCGATATTATCGGTATACCGATTTTCCTTTGATAATTATAAAGGAAAATTCTTTGATGGAAATTTTGAGTAATTCTAAAAGGGGAAACGATAATTTCGAAGCTGTTTCGAACATGTTTCGAACGACACGCTGAAAAAAAATCACACTGAAGTGGAAATTCTAAATCATTGCAGTAGAAAGTTCTTTGAATTGCCATTCAGTAGTAAAATAAAGGTTATGGTTCACCATATAGTTGGTAAATTTAACACGGTATACCGAAAATTTCCGGTATATCGGGAATTTCGGTATATCGGTATGGTTGAATATCCGGTATCGATATACCGATATTGATTTAATACCGATATTTTCGGTATATCGGTATACCGAACAGTCCTACACTCTGCATGCAAGCTCTCGAATGAACTTGCACTTGCAAGTGGAAAGCAGAATGAACTGGGCCCCTGACTCAATACAGGGTAAGCAATGAATACACCAGTGAGTGTTGGAATAAAAAACAACTAAAAGGTGGGTGAGGAATAAACTTGTAGATGACTAAAAGGGTTGCAAAAAACGAAGCCCATTAATCCTGCATAATGGGTGATTCCGGCTGTAGACTAAATTTTGATCTAGGCAAGAAGGACGAAATTTGACACCATAGTTAGAAAGAGCATCTTAGAATGAGTAAAACTGCAAAGATTGGTTGCTAAATGTTGTAAAATGAAGAAAATATAGCCCTGTGAAGTTCGCAAATTTTGTATATATTTGTATTACGCGGGGTAAAAATAACCACTTTTGGCTCAAAAATGGTTATTTTTCGCAAGCGTAGTGTAAATATATACAAAATTTGCGAACTTCATAGGGCTATATTTTGCTCATTTTACAACATTTCGCAACCAAACTTTGCAATTTTACTCATTTTACGATGCTCTTTCCAGCTAGTTCTTCTTGTCTAGATCAAAATTTCGCCCATAGCTGAAATCCACCATTGAATATAAGTTTCAAGTAGACACCCACAACCTTATTTCAGATCCACCCGATTTCCTAGAGATGCCTGCAGGGGAGGCTAACCCTTATCCTTCATCTTCAACTATTTTTACTGCATAAATCATATACAGTCAAATTCCCCCAAACCCCTGACATTTTCTGCCCCCAAGGAAATTATAGTTACTATACACACCCCTGGGTTTTATACACACCCCTGGTTATTTTTTATCCAAATCTAGAAACTCCAGGAGAGCAAATTGCAAGAACACTAACTTTTGAGAGAGTTGATGAACTGAAAAGAAATATCAAGACAGATCAATTGAAGTATAGGTGTGACTATGAAATTTGATATGTTACAACAAGCTCGTGATGTTGAGATATTCACCTTCATTCTGTTTTTCCAGAAAATTAAAGTCTGAGATTGAGATGATCTTAAGTGGAAAATGTGATGATCGCTTACCTATGATCTTAGAAAATTTACAGAAGTACATACTTGACTTTGTTACAATTGTTTTTATGTTCTTTCAATATTTGATGAAAATCTATCTGTGTTAACCCAATTTTTAATTTCTAAGTATTGTTTCTCTTTTCAGTAGACCCAAGCCACAGATGGAGCCACCCACAGGTTATAGCCCTGGCCAACAAAGAGAAACAATGAAACCCCCACAATATCCTGTTCAACCATCATCGTCACCTTCAGGTACTGTATGTTCAATACTTGTCTTGCAAGCCGCAGAGGTGGAAATGGGGGTCTGTGGCAGCTGCGAGAGGCTGACTCCTGTACCCAATAAGTGTAGTTGAGACGCAATGTGTTAAAGCAGAAACTATAAACTGGTTAAAGATGACGAATACGTTGTTTTTCTTGTGTTGTGAAATGAATTCCAGCCATTTTTCTTGATTGTCAGGTTTCCAACTGAAAACTAATTTGCACATGTCACGAATTTAACTCAAACAAGTTATTGAGTTTTTGGGGCCGTTTAACGGTCCTAAAAAATCTCTGAAAAAAACCCTGTCACGATGAGATACATTTCACTACACTTTACTTTACTTTACTTTACTTTACTTTACAACTACAAAAGCCTCTGCGGAGGAGAGAGACTATCAATGAAAAGAATAAATACTCTCTATAACCATATTAGAGATCGGCTAGAATGACTAGGAGGAAATAAGGATGGGCCATGAAATTGTTTTCATCAGTTTGGGTGGGCCATCAATTTGTTTTTTGAGCAAATGGATCGGCCATGAAACACATATAGCCTGTTTGCACTCAAGACATACTACAACTACTACACAAGTTATGAGAAAGTGACTCAGTGCATGGTTTGATGAAAGCATGGATAATAAAATACATGGATAGGAAACTAGCTGACGTGACCTAATGTTTTCAATGGGATGATGGCGTTGAAACCTAGTTGCAAACCAAATTCTCAAAAACGGCATGTTTGGCGATAATACAGCTAAACATTTTAGTCAAAGAGCAAATAAATATAACTAAGCCATTCTACGATGAAATCTCTAAGTATTCCCAGTCAATTTTAGCAAATATTTCAAGCACTAAACAGTGCAAAAATGCATCGCAAATTTCGTAAAAATTGGCGACGCCAATTTCGTAGCTACAAATGTTAAAAAATACAAAACAAAGACGAAAAACATTTACCTTGAATACTTTGTCGTGGCTTAGGCATGTTTTTAAAACAATTAGACCAGTTTATGCTTCAATATTACTCTTTCAAAGCGGAAAATATAGCGAAACAACAAAAATGCTGAGAACTTTGGCAATACATGTGACGTCACAGATTGCAACTAGGTTTAGACTGTGACGTCAGCTAGTTTCCTATCCAGTTATTTTACAGTCCATGATCAAAGTGACTGCTATACTGTACATATTCATGTATAGCAGGATGGGTCGTGAAATTTTTCCAATGACCTACGATGGGCTTTGAAATTTTTTCCTTCCAGCCCACCCTAGCAGTTACTTTATGACCGGTCCCTTACCATGTAATGAAGATGTTGTTTTCAAAAGAAAACGTTTGTTTTTCACTACAGTCAGTGGTGTACAGCAACCATTAAAAAGTCCAGTATCTCCATCGCCTCAAAAGATGAAAAATCTTCGAGTCCCAAAACCTACAGAAAGGTTAGAAAATCATTTAATAATCCTTCGGTTTTATACAACCATGTCCTGAGGTATATATTTGTGTTTACAGATTTCAGAAATACCAACAGCAACAACAAGCTCGACATGGCCACAGCTCATCTCAAAGCCAACAGCAACAACAACAGCAGCAGCAACAACAACAACAGCAACAACAACAACAGCAACAACAACAATATAAACAACAACTGAATATATTAGAGCAACTTCAAAAACAACAACAACTGCAACAGTTACAACAACAACAACAACAACAACAACAACAACAACAACAACAACAACAACAACAACAACAACAACAACAAATACATCAACAACAATTTCAGCAACAACAACAACAACTTCAACAACATATCGAGCCACATAACACCCTCCTACCAGCAGAGACCCCTTCATTACAGGACCACACTCCTGTCCCACCGCAGTTTTTTCGTTCCAATGGCCAACAGGAAAGGATACTTCATCAACAACAGGTAAATTTCTTAATGTGTCCGCAGGACGATACGTCTACTTTTTTTACGTAGACACGATGTTGCATAGCCATGTACATAATTTGTATCGATATCGATATTATCTTTAATTTATTTTTTATTGACGGCGATATGGATGTCAGTACATCACTACCACCTTCAAACAGAAACAGTAGCATGTACTGTAAAGCCTGAAATCCAAGCTTTTCCAAAGTTTGTTCATATTTTTCTAGCAGCAGCTCATAACATCAGCAGTTCAAGCAAGCTTCCCCAACATTCCAGACAAAAGTCACCTCGCACAACTAGTACAAACTGGGCATAATACAGTCAAGAAAGATCTAACTGCTATGGATGTAGACGTTTCCTTTGATAAACAAGTGAGAAATAGTATATCTATGTTTATTATATACACAAGGTCTGGATATGAGGTATTCTGCAATCTGATTGGTTCTCTACTAGCAGGATATTAGCTCATATCCTGCTAGTAGAGAAAAACAAAATGGCGGCCAAACTGAATTTACGATGTTTTGCAAACGCGAGAAAACGGCAAGTTGTCGCTTTTTATAGCCTTCACAGGATTAAAAACACAATGAAAAAACTCCCACAAATTGTGTTCAGGTTACTAGCAAATACATTTTTAAAATTTAAAATGGTTAAAAATATATATTTTTGAAAAAAATAATCGGCCGAAAGAGCGAAGATAAAAACATAAACAAAATAGAAAAATATTGAAAATATCCGAAAAGCAAAGTCTGTGAATTGACAGACATTGTGTACATAATAAAACAGTTATTCCACTCGCTCTCGTCGAATATGAGCGATAGCCGATTCGGCGCTAGGCGCCTCATCGGCTAATAGGGAGCTTAAGCATGTAGGATGGCAACAAGACGACGACGGCAACCAATACAAGGAGTCAATGAAAAATGAATAAATAATTAAAGTCCCAGGGGAGTTTCAGGCGTAGTCGTCGCTCTGTTTAGAACGGCAAATCACAGATTTTCACGTCTTTTATACAACACCTGCATTTCAAGGCGTAACAAGTGCAACTTAAAATTCGGTCAGTAGAACTCTTCCCAAACATAAAGCATGTGTTTTCAGCTTCTTATACTGTATTAAATTCATACGAATTATAATATGCGACAAGTTTTCTTTACTATCATTTATTTGAAGGAATTTGTTTTGGCCGTCGTCGTCGCGTTGCCGTCCTACATGCTTAAGCTCCTTATTAGCTCATATTCGACTCGAGTTCGTAGAATAACTGTTAATTATCTATCAAATAGTGTGGGGAATATAGCCTGGTTTACACCATCAAAGTTTCTGTGATCACAGTAGGAGAGAACTGACTCAGTGTTCAACACTAAGTCAGTTTCCTCGAACATTTCTTACAAATCCTTCAAAATTTAGAATTTACCTGAATGTAAAATTCCTACTGTGATCACAGAAACTTTGATAGTGTAAACCAAGCTTATGTTTAGGTCCCCTAATCTTTTCAATTAAAGTCTTCATAAAGCTCACCTCCAAAGAAGGAATCGGAAAAGGAAATTTACATATTGAAATTTACATATTCAGTCTTCAATATTTGAGTTAGTCATGACAATAATTTTTTTGTTTACCCAACCCTTTTCTCTTCGGTGCCACCCCCGGCCATAAACAATGACCGGGGATCGGTCATTAGTTATGGGGTGACACCAAAGAGAAATGTTTTTGCTGACCCAACCATTAAATTCGATTTCCCAACCTCAAATATCAATTAAAAAATAAATACCCACCCGCCACCCCTGGCCAAAAACTTTACAAAGTACAAACGGATACCATTCAGTTGTCACATATGTCCTTTACCACTTCTGTGACATGAGTTTGATAACGGCTTGTGAAATTTTCTGCAGTCTAAAGTTTCATGTTGTCTGCACATGTATTTTCTTTGGAGACACCATTTGTCTCCCAACATATCGGAAAATGATCAAGATAGTGACTCTGATTGATTCACATATTGTATTGACATATGACTGTTGACAGTGCTTTTTGGTCTCCAATATTTCAGTGAGTCATGCTTTGGAAATGACAATACATTTTTATTGCCCAACTTTTTACTCGCTCAAAATTTCGTTTACCCAACCCTTTTCTCTTCGATGCCACCCCCGGTCATAAACAATGACCAGTCCCTAATGCTAGACTCACATTGGAACCTCTGATATCGTGACGAAGACGAAGCATCTACATGTAGTTAAACAGTGCCGTCAGCATTGTGTTTCTCTCGTTTAGACAAAACATAAAGTGAGTCCAAATGTAAAGGAAGCTCCCCATGAAACCATCATTGATAACGGTATCCTGGGCCCAGCCCCCTTGAGCGGCGCAACGTCATCAGGATTGTTATCTACGTTATTAACTGCTCCTGTGAAAGAAATCAAACATGTTGCAGAAACGATCAACCAGGTATATATTATACGTTATTAACTGCCGGGTATTAACTGCACCTGTGAATTAAATCCTGAGTATCAGGTGCAGATGAGTAGGTTTCACTAAGCACACCATACAGCAGAGACGATCGACCAGGTATATATTCTACGCCATTAACTGCCGGGTATTAACTGCACCTGTGAATTAAATCCCGAGTATCAGGTGCAGATGAGTAGGTTTCACTAAGCACACCATACAGCAGATGCTGGTCATTGGCAGGGGTAGAAAAAATATTTTACTTTCTGGGACCGCAAGAGAACATTGAAAATTTTCGGCAAGAGGACACTACTAGGGGACACTATCAGGGGAATCTATGGTTCCTCAGAAAATTTTGAAAATCAGGTGTCTCAGATTGGCTAAAAATGCATTTGCCATACAACATTTGTTACAGTGCATCATTCTATAGTCTAATACGTTTATACACTATCGCACTATTAAGATGGATGCACTTATAATTGCACTATGAGTGCATCCATCTGAGGTCTTGGTGTGAATTTTCCTCTGAATTTCTCGTATTATCTAAATTATTACAATTTTTTTCCTTTTTGGGGAAATATTTTCTGGGAACTGAAACAATTTTGTGGGACCAATGCTCCCGTGGTCCGAAACTTTTTTCCACCCCTGGTCATTGGTCAAAGTGTGGAAATAATGTTCATTCATTTCATCTTATAAGATAAACAAGTTTTGTATTTAGCGACAAAAAATAAAATTGAGAGGTGCAGTTGCTCGCTCCTGTCAAATAGTTGACCTCCATCTGCTTATTTGAAACGATCTCAAAGTGAAACTGAATTGAGGTACCCAAGTCATTGCCCAAACTTCGACATTTAGCTCATTCGAAATTTGGGAATATTCCCAATAATCAACCCTTCTTTATGATTTAAAACATTCTAATAAAAAAATTGTGCAATATTTACAACTATATCATTATTGTCATCAAATTATATATCATTCCTTATCTTTGCATTTCATCCTTTATAGTTTACATTAACTATTGAATGAATCAGTGAGTTATTGCTTGCATTATTAAGTGTTCAGAGCTTTTTGTGGCCGTTACTGATTGAACGGCCCCAAAAACTCAATCTTGAAGTGAGTTTCGAAACTCAATTATCTCATCAAAAGTTGTAGTGCAGTAAAGATGAAGTTGTTTGAGTTAAAATTATAACGTTGAAATAATTTTTCCTGTCAGGAAAGGTATACCGCCTTCAATTCGTTAAACAAGTTCAAAGTAATTTTCAGCTGTTCTAATGCCATGTAAAGGCTGAATTGTAAAACTTCCGGGGCCCCGCCAAAACCCCCTGAGTGGTGCGTTCATCTAAGCTCGTCTAAATTCTCCATTGTAGGGGTCCTTTCCAGATCAAGAGAGAAACGACACAACACCACAGAAAATCTCAGAGACTTCGCTTCCTTTTTTAGGTAGGTCTTATACAAGATTGTTTGTTTCAAGCTTGTGAACAACTTGTGAGAACAACCTTGTGAACACTACATAGTGCATGTGAAGCAGTGAGATTTACATGCAGTAGAACCCCCCGCTAACTCAAACTCCCAAGGAAGGTGAAAAATTCAGGGATTCGAGTTAACGGTCAGTGTTGGATTTCGTTTATTATGGTAATAATTAATAAGGTATAGTCGTTTTATTATTCATCACAATTGTGAGCCATAACGGCGCACTCTAAAGAACTTACACAGTTTGTACAGTATTACTGTTACCTAAGTTCAACACAGTACCTATATACCAGCAGTACCTATAAACTACAATCTTGGACAAAACCCTTGAGACCATTCCAGCCAATATTACAAAGTTATTGAACATTGATTGACAAAACAAACTTTGTCTCCCCCTCCCCCCAAGTTCAATGTTGTAAACAACGCCGAAACAACTTTTGGTAATATACCACGACACAAGCTCGACATTGACTTGGGGGAGCGGGGGCTTAAGAAGGGCAACGTGATTCAACATGGACTTTATCATAAAAATATGCGAATTTTGTATAGGATAAAAATAGTCTCAACCAGTTGTCCAAAATTGTAGGTCAGTAATGATCGACGCAACATGTTGAACCTTTTATCTCTTATGGACTTGTATTAGGTTTGCATATATTATGTACCGATTAAATAGTAGTCTGAATAGAACCCCAAACTTCCGACTTGTCAATGTGCTATGTTCTGACATTTTGAGATTTGTCGATCCACGAGTTAGCCGGGTAAATTTCAGCAAGGGAAATTGACATTTGTTCGAGTTAGCGAGGAGTTGAAGTAAAGCGAGTGAGGGATGGATCCAGCACGATCTGGTAGTGGTGCGCTCTGCTAGCTCTGGTGCCGAGTTGTGTCGGTCATGTGTGCCGCCCGGTCATCAGCTTGCTTGACTACTGCCAAGTCTTGCTTGACTACTGTATTCGCTTATCATCATGTTATTACTCGAATTACTGTATCTCATTTTTTTGCTTTATCATGAAAAATAGCACCCCCCCCCGCAACCTTCCACCCCCCCCCCAGTAAATCCATCCCTTAAGGGAGTTCGAGTTAGTGGGGCTCTACTGTATAATTTATATACTCTATATATACAGAGTGAGCGGCTGTGCATACATTTGATAAGCGTGCCACTATATTGAACCAAGATCATTCACATGTCTTGCAGATGGAAGTAATCTTGGTAGCGATATTCACAAGTCCAGGATAACTGTACCATCAGCGACTGAGGTCGCGCCAACCTTGTCCAAACTTCTTACGACAACAACTTCAATAAATGGTAAACTTCAAAAGTCTCCTGAAACACCCCAGGTATGCACTTTCTAAATCGTTGATGCTCTTGGGAAGGGGGCTGGCAGATAAAAACATCATGCAAAGAGTGGAATTTGAAAAAAAATCATGCAAGCATGTGGGGAAAGAAGAAATTCCTGAAACTACATGGAATATACAAAAATATAGAAAAAAAGTCCCGACAGCTTCTACACTTTAAAAAAAGTTCGATAAAGCAACGACCTTAAAAAATAATTTTTAAGGTCTTTGCCTTATCGTTACTCGCTTGACAATCATATTACACTGAAAAAAATTAAAAGATACGATTGAAGGAATGGACAGCAGGACTGCATGACATCTCATATTAAGTCCATCCATTTAACACTAAGAATATAACATAATAAGTACACGATACACTACATGATTCAAAGACGTCACAAAGTCGCGTCATGACTCTATTGAAGTAGGAGGATCTGAAGAATGTGGTTTTACAAAGGTTGTGTCTAAGTTGAAGACCTAAAACGAGTTGAGCGCGGGAAGAAGGTTACTTGTGTATTGTATTTTAGTATTTTTGCACAAGTGAACATAACAAATCCTACAAGTTGATTGGTCAAATTTGACGTATTAAGCTGTTATATTCACAAGTGAATATAAGCTGTTATATTCGCAAGTGAATATAACAAAACCGAAATTTCCAAAATGGTGGCTAGCCGTTGTGTGGCCATTATACTGATAAAGAAATAAGCGAAATTAAAATAAATTCAGTCCCAAAAACACAAAAATACTAAAACAATTATTCGCCTCAGGCTCGGTGATTATCGGGGAATATTCACCTCGACTTCGTCTCGGCGAATATTCTCCGATAATCACCTCGCCTTCGGCGAATAATTGTTAAGTATTGGTCGGTATCGATTTCGTATATAGGCTCCGGATTTGCATTTGTAGTAGAAAGTAAGATCTTTGAGTTCAAACCAGTATGAAATAGGAAGTGGGTTTAGAGATTTCAATCGGAAAGAGTATGAGGAATTGTAGTCTTGGGTGCCGTCCCTCGAGAGTTCACCACTTATTGCTGTATTATTTTATAGGTTTTGCTGCAAGTGAAATTTCGCTGCATTTCGTTACAAGTTGCATGAAAAATATATTCGTGTAACCATGTTCTTGTGCTACCGCCATTTTAGGTCAAGAGAACTCCTGCACAGAAAACTCCTGTAGACCAATCATGGTCTGCACAAAACAATTCTCTCGGTAACCAAGAATATAAATTTACTACATGATTTATAACTTGCGCAACACTAGGTTACCGTGCATTTCTTCAATTGATATTTTTTACTTGTGTCAAATACTTTTACAGAATCAGTAGCAAGAAGCCGAAAGCCTTCGGAGGTTAGCAATGTAACAATTTTAATTTTTGCCAATGAACCATTTGCATTATAAACTAAATTTTGATCTAGACAAAAATTTCATCACAGCTTGAAAGAGCATCACAAAATTAGTAATATTCCAAAGTTTCGTTGCGAAGTGTTGTAAAATGCGGATAATATAGCCTTGCGAAATTTGCAATTTTCAGTCATTTTGTATTACGCACGGGAAATTTACAGCCCAATCGGGTGTTGGGGCATCAATTTCTCGTTTGTAATACAAAATGACTGAAAATTGCAAATTTCGCAAGGCTATATTATCCGCATTTTACAACATTTCGCAACGAAACTTTGGAATATTAATAATTTTGTGATGCTCTTTCAAGCTGTGATGAAATTTTTGTCTAGACCAAAATTTAGTCTATAATGCAAATGGTCCACTCACTCGCTTTCTAATAAAAAGGATGATAACCCACGTGATTTGCTGTGAAGTGTACACACATAAAAATCTCACATCTTGTAACAAGTCTGCCAACAAGCCGTCAACGAGTTGTGTTCGCACTGCTTGTCCCAAGTTGTCAACAAGTTTGGAACAAGCTGTTAGCAACAGTAACAACCTTGTTGATATTATCAGACTTGTTTCAAGGTTGTTCCAACAAGTCTCATACAGTCATGATATAACACTGTTGTTACAATCTTGTGTGATCAACCTTGTAACGTTCTTGTTATATCATGATTGTATCAGACTTGTTAGAACAACCTTGTTACAAGTCTGATAATGATGTTTGTGATGTTACTCTGAGTGTATTATATCCACACCGGGCAAGCTTGAAAAATATGCCTGTCCACGGTGGGAATCGAACTTTGCAATACTAGCCCAATGCTAGCCCTACGCGGTCAGATCGGTTCGAGTATGTGATATTTCAGAACTGAATCTAGTTCCTTCGATATCAGTGCAATCTCATGATTGTTTTCTGTGTTGTACACAACACCAACACAGAAAAAAAGTCTGATACTGCCATCACGCTTATTACAAGTTGTTAACAGCTTGTTCCAAACTTGTTAGAACAACTGGGAACAAGCAGTGCGAACACAACTTGTCGACACTTGTGAACAGATTTGTAACAACTTGTGCGTTTTTACGTGTGTACTTTGCGTGTTCTCTATCTTTTATTATCAAATTGAAATATTGTTGTTGTTTTTTTTCAGGAGGAAACATTATCAGACGCACTATCAGACAGTAAGGTGAGAGTCGATCACTCGCTCGAATGCCTTCATTAAAATATTTGTTGTAAAAAATGTTTGTTGTATACACACACAAAAATCTCACATCTTGTAGCAAGTCTGCCAACAAGCCGTCAACAAGTTGTGTTCGCATTGCTTGTCCCAAGTTGTTAACAAGTTTGGAACAAGCTGTGAACAACTTGTAACAACCTTGATGATATTATCAGACTTGTTGCAAGGTTGTTCCAACAAGTCTGTAACAGTCATGATATAACAATATTGTTGCAACCTTGTGTCGCCAACCTTGTAACATTCTTGTTATCATGACTGTATCAGACTGTTAGAGCAACCTTGTGACAAGTTTGATAATTCCATCAAGCTTGTTACAAGTTCTTGACAGCTTGTTCCAAACTTGTTACAACAACTAGGAACAAGCAGTGCGACAGCTGGTGAACATATTTGTAACAACTTGTTGGCATAGGATATGCGTATAGTGGTCATATACACACGTAAAAATCTAACAACTTGTCAACAAGATGTGTTCGCAACAGGCTTGTAGCAAGCTTGTCAACAAATTGTAACAATGCTGTAGGCTTTAACCGGTTTTTCGGGTTTTTTCGGTTTTATTTTCAAACCGGTTTTTTTCGGTTTAGCTTTTAAAAAACCGGAAAACCGTCATTACGTAATTGTTTGCTGTCATCGCCCGAAACTCGATCTTAATTCTCAAAACATGACACTAATTAAACTCAATTACATGACACTAGATACAAATTCTATTCTTTTTCCGTAAAATCGGTAAGAACTAAAGAGGTATAAGTTTTCAAATGCGTTCTTGACCCTTTTATTTTCAAACTGAAGTCGTTTTAGATTACCTTTGCACAATTTTGCGTTTTGTCGTGTACTGTTCGTTTGCTTATGTCAAAAAAATACCACAATTCTTGCTCATTCAGTTGAAGTAAAAATTAAAGGGAAAAAACCGGTTTTCCGGTTTTACCGGTTTAGAAGCAGACGGTTTTTCGGTTTTAATTTTAAGCAAAACCGCCCAAGCCTTGAATGCTGTTATTTTATCAAGTTGCTACAAGGTTGTCACTCACAGCTTGTTGACAAATTGTTGAATTGCAGGACGATAACAAGTTGTTGGAACAACTTGTGACAGGTCTGTTGAGCTCAACAACCTTGTAGCAAGTTGCCAACAAGCCGTTGACAACTTGTCAACAAGCTGGGAACAAGCAGTGCGAACAATTGTTTCCGTCAAATATGTCGTACACACGTAAAAACGCACAAGTTGTTCCAGGTTTGCAAACAAGTTGTTACAAATCTTTTCAGAGGCTGTCGACAAATTGTGTTCGCACTGCTTGTTCCCAGTTGTTGTAACTAGTTTGGAACAAGCTGTTAACAACTTGTAACAAGCTTGATGGCATTATCAGACCTGTTACAAGGTTATTCCAACAAGACTGATACAGTCATGATGAAACAAGAATGTTACAAGGTTGACGACACAGGTTGTAACAATACTGTTATATCATGACTGTTACAGACTCGTTGGAACAACCTTGCAACAAGTCTGATAATATGAACAAGGTTGTTACAAGTTGTTAACAGCTTGCTTCAAACTTGTTGACAACTTGGGGCAGGCAGTGAGAACGCAACTGTTGACGGCTTGTTGGCAGACTTGCTACAAGATGTGAGAGTTTTACTCGTGTAGTCTTGTGTTGGTTGCCAATAATTGGAAATGAAGCATTCAGTCTCATTGTCTTACTACGTCTTGTTTATGAGATTGACCATCATCTGTTAATGAAGTATCCGTTACATTTAGGAACCAGCTGCTAAGGAGCATTTTCAAGAGTTTGTGGATCGCCCTGCCATACCGCCCAAAGTACTGGTAGCTAGTGATGAAGTGAAATCAAAGCCTGAAAAAAGACGACCTGGTAGGGTTTCATTTCCTCTGTTAGTTTTAAAGCCCCTTTACAAAACATTTAGCGAGGATCTAGTGGTGTAATGGATCAGTGGTGGCGCAAGAGTTTTTAGGGGAGTGCTGGGCGAACAGCTAAGCACACCAAACCCAGCACTAGCCAGCAGCGTATTCTTAAGGCCCATTTACACGATACGATTAGTTGTATACGATTGTCATTCTGACGAATGAAAACGAGTGCTAATGCCACGTTATTGCTCATTCGCTAATGGCGAAATTTGAAATGTGACGTTTGTACGCGTGTTTATTCGATCACATACGCCAGAGTAAGAATCGTATACAACTAATCGTACCGTGTAAATGGGCCTTTATGAAACTGCACCTAGTAGTTTCTTGGTTACAATTTACAGATATGTTGAATAAATTTTTTCTTTCTAATTTTATTTTCATTATCAAATACTTATAATGTTAGACGTTTGCAGCAAAATCAAAGTGTCAAACTAAATTCATTATTGATATTGGACTTATCAGTATTTTGAACTCGTGCTGTGATGCCCCATTGAATTCCAAATTTTAAGTTAGTATAATACTGATAACAAACTTTGAATACTCAAACATTTAAAAGTAAGATAATTTTATTTTTTGTACCCCCCCCTTGCACCCATGTTGACCAAGGCCCTCTTGCACCCATGTTGATCAAGGCCAACAAATTCACCACTGTAGTGGACTAGAACACAGGCTATAGTGATTGGAATGTTTTACTGTCTTTTCATTGTTTTGATGTCACTCGTTGTTTGGATATATTTGTGGCGTTATGCATCTGGCCTATATTCCTTTCTTTTCTATTTTGTTTCTTTTTTGCAAAGTCTATTTCTTTTTATAATTTCTTTTCAGGTCGCCCAAGAACTAGAAAACCCCCAAAGGTTTGTTATTTCTATTTTTACAATAAAGCTACATGTATTATGCATTTTTTGTCTGGAACGTACTTTACCTTATTACCATAGATTAGGAAATGAATAGTTGGCTCACTCCTTTGATGTTTTTAACGCTGCCGGCACCCACGCATGTTCTTGCCAGAGTAATGGCGGCCTAGCAAGTAACTGAAGTAAAATGCATTGTGAAATTGACATCGGTGTTACTAAATCCTGTATTTTTATAATTCTGATTTATTTTTCCATTAAACCCCCCGAAAGCGGAAAGATACAGGATTTGTAGCACGGATGTCAATTTCACAATGCATTTTATTATAGTTCTTGCTAGGCCGCCATTACTCTGGCAAGAACATGCGTGGGTGCCGGCGGGCGGCGTCAAAAACATCAAAGGAGTGAGCCATCTATTCATTTCCTAATCTATGTTATTACATTGTCGTCCAGCTTGGTCGCAGTTGTTCACGACAACCATTTATTCTAATAACTTTGAACTGTCTTTGCCAGTGTAGGTATTGGCAATAATATGAACAAGCTTTCGTTGGCAGGGATGCAACTACCTGGAAATATATAAGGAGAATTTCGACGTTTCGAGCGAAGGCCCTTCATCTGGAGTTACCAGTAACTCCAGACGAAGGGCCTTCGATCGAAACGTCGAAATTCTACCAACGAAAGCTTGTTCAATTTATTCTAATACGTTGAGAGGTAATTTGTATCTTGAACACAACCACCTGAGTGCTTCTCAGATGTGTTTGTTTGTTTGTTTGTTTGTTTTGTTTTGTTTGTTTGTTTGTTTGTTTGTTTGTTTGTTTGTTTGTTTGTTTGTTTGTTTGTTTGTTTGTTTGTTTGTTTGTTTGTTTGTTTGTTTGTTTGTTTGTTTGTTTGTTTGTTTGTTTGTTTGTTTGTTTGTTTGTTTGTTTGTTTGTTTGTTTGTTTGTTTGTTTGTTTGTTTGTTTGTTTGTTTGTTTGTTTGTTTGTTTGTTTGTTTGTTTGTTTGTTTGTTTGTTTGTTTGTCTGATGTTTGATGTTTGATGTTTGATGTTTGATGTTTGATGTTTGATGTTAGATGATGTTTGTTTTGCAGGAAACTGAGGAAGAAGATGCAGATGAAAGTTTGAAAGAGGTTGGGATATACAATCAAATATCCATGGCATTAAATATACGTACCGGGGGCACTTTCTCTGCTTCCCCAGCTCAAAAAAAACCCGAAACAACGAAGGCTCTTAAAATTTCTTCATACAATTGTGATTGCTTAACTGAGATTATAAATCCTAGCTGCGTTAGTAACGGATACTATGCATTAAAGTGTAATATATTGTAAAACATAGCTTCTCCCGTTTTACAATTATGACGTCATACGGGCCCCCCTGGGAACGTTTTGCCCCGTGCCCCACGCAACCTTTCGGCGGCCTGCACCTCTGTAAGAGAGGACATGTTTTGACTATCGTCATTATGGTTTTAAATCTAAAACCTCGCTCTCACGTTTATAAAACAGTATGGGCAGAACTTATAAAATAAACGTGTATAAAAGTAATGGTAGTTACATGTGAATATATTATTTTCATCACATGACGAAATCCTGTTATGTGTTTTTAAAGAGTCATTGTCAACCACAATGCATTTGTTTACATCTTACCTTCGGAAGTGACAAATGGCAACAAATGACGATTATAAACATTTCTTTGGTGCAATTTTAGTATAAAAAAGTTAAAATGAGCAAGTATAACCATAGGATGGTAGTAATATATTATGGATTGAAAACTGAAACATCTATTATTACGCCTTTAAAATGGCCGCCAAGCAGGTTTGGGCGCACAATGCATTGTGGTTGACAATGACTCTTTAAGTATAGGTTATCATTCCAGAGGACCCACTGACTAGTACTAGTAATGTTGCATTGTTCGCAACCGTTCTGGTTATGTCTTAAATCGTGTGTATATATGCTCACTTGGATTATGCACCAATATTAATCATTGCCCCAATGCAACAATTATTAAAATAGTGGGCAAAAGTATGCGATAAAGAATATTATGTATTGTTGATCAGGGTGTAAAATCATCAGATGTAAAAGTTGAGGCAGACGATGGTGAAGAAAGAGTAAAGAAATGTGAAGATGATTTGAAAAAGGAAGATAAAGCTGAACTCAGTGTTCAAAGTAGTTTTGGTTCCGAGTCCGTTCCTGACAGTCCCGCTTCGCAAATATCACAAAGGTCAGTGGCATTATTACGTCGTACCCTTCCTGACGTCACCGCCGCGCATGTTGGATCAACTTCACATTTCACAAAGCCTTTTGTTTGTTTGTATTTCGCAATGTAAATTTCATCACCCAACATGGCAGGAATCTGTGTGTTATTTGAAGGATCTAAAGGAATCTGTGTGTTCTTTGAAGGATCTAACTTCCTGGGGCCGGTTGTGCGCAGGTTCTCAATTAAAACTGGTTCATGTGGGAGGTATCATTAAAATCATACCTACCCAAGGGTGGGTTGACTACAAAATTTTTGTAGTTCGCTATAACTACAGCTACTTCAAAAATATGTAGTCAGCTACAACTACTGCTACTTTTGAACAAAGGTAGTTCGCTACTGACTACAGCTACTGCTTAAAAAATGTAGCCAACTATTTCGCTATTTCGCTACGCTATATTTTTTAGTTTTACTGTATTTGGAGCATCTACTAACTCAGGCCTAATGTAACCTATAACAAATCGACTTACGAGTAGCAACAGTAAACATATAAAGCAACATTTTTGTAAGCACTATATTGTTCGGGAGTGCAAATTGAGTATTGAGTATTGATTTTAAGCAAACCGTGTCTCAATATCATTCTATTCTATCAAGTTGCTAACAATTTTAAAAAGTAGCGAATAGCGATTCCCTATTTGAAAAGTAGTCAACTACTTGGCTACTTTTAGGCAAAATGTAGTTCGCTATAACTACAGCTACTATTTTAAAAAAGTAGTCAAAAACTACTGGCTATTTGAAAATTGTAGTTCGCTACAGTAGCGAACTGCAACTACTTCGCTACTACCCACCCTTGTACCTACCACAACCAGTTTTAATTCAGATTTATAAGTCGTTAATCCAACCACATTTTCATTATTGTAGCAGTGTCTGGGGCAGCTTATGTAAGGCTCTTGGACCACACTTCAAAAATTTCAAAATAGACCTACACGAATTATTACGGGAACTGATTATAATGTTCGTTCTGCTGAGAGCTTGCGCACCTTAGGGGCCGATTACATGGAGCATTTTCAGCCCCAGGGTTGAACTCAGCCCTGTTTACCGGGATGAAATTTCAGCCCTGTCTGTAATACAAAACTCTATCAAAATCAAACGCGCGATTACATGACAATATTTTCAACCCAGGGCTGAGTTCAACCCCGGGGTTGAAATTTCAACCCTGCTTCAGCTAGCAAACAATCTATTTCATAATTTTCATTGAGCATTTTTTGATAGTAACTTGTATTGATAGTTGGATTTGTGTTTGCAGTGGAAGTGATGACTCGGAGTCTCTGCAAGCCCAAAAGAATTGGAAAAAATCCATTATGCTCGTGTGGAGAGCTGCTGCAAATCACAAGTTAGTGCAGTTTATTTCATTGGAAGATACGGTTAGCCCACTGGCTCGTATCGCTGAGTTAAACCTGTGATATATCATTTCTTGATACATTTTTCCACCCTCCCTCCCCCCACCTGTTTCAATGCTGGCCTCTCGCAACCAGACATCAGGTTTTTGTCCGCCCAACATTAGAGACCTTACGATTTTAGGACGGCAACGCGACGGCGACGGCTATACCGATACAATAGATCATTCAAAAGAATTGAGTAATTACAATATATGAATAATTTAGACATTGTCCTCGCTCTGTTTACAACGCCAAATCACAGATTTTCACGTCTTGATACAACGGCTGCATTCCAAGCCGCAACAAGTGCAACTTCAATCTGGGTTTAGCAGAACTCTTTCCTTCCAACCATAAAACCCATGTCTTTAACTTCTAAAACTGTAATAAATTCATACGATTGATAATTTACCACGAACTATCTTTACTACCATTTATTTGAAGGAGTTTGTTTTGGTCGTCGCCGTCGCGTTGCCGTCCTAAAATCGTAAGGTCTCTATTGAACTGGGGGAACGGAGGGCACTATACGCCTTTCATATTATGTGAAATTACAGCACCTGTCCCATAGTTTTTGTCAAAGATTGTAGTACTGAAAGTCAGGAATAAGGGCAATGACACTTGTTGCGTGATTAGACTTACGTTGTTTATGCATGGTCGCAGTCAGAGGCGTCTCTGGTGAGCATTGTTACAACTTGTTGACAAGCCTGCTACAAGTCTGTTGCGAACACATCTTGTTAACAAACTGTGAGATGTTTTGACGTGTGTATCCCGTGCAGGGATGGATTTACTGGCCAGAGGGGGTGCAGGGAGTGTGCTATTTTTCATGATAAAGCAAAAAAATATTAGAGACAAAATGAGATACAGTAATTTGAGTAATAACATGATGATAAGCAAACTGTGAACAACAATTACAATTTAAATACAGTAGTCAACCAAGACTTTGCAGTAGTGAAGCAAGTTGATGGGCGAGCGGCACACATGACCGACACAACTCGGCACCAGAGCTGGCAGAGCACCCTCCCCTACCAGATCATGCTGGATCCATCTCTGATCCCGTGTATAAGAGACTGTAATATATTGTAAATAGTGAGCTTAAGCAAGCGACTTTGTTTTTTAACACGGACGTTACCCGAAAATTAGTGCATCTAATTTTGGCGGTATTTTGCATCACAGCGCTCGTGTAAGGAAGCAAAAAAAAACACTTTAAAAATCTTGCATTTATGTGGGCGACCGCCATGTTGGTCCCCTTTCAACAAAAGAATCTCATTAGCTTCTTTTGAATTTGGCACCAACATGGCCGCCGTGCCATTGTCTTATAATTCTCAAGGGATTGATTGCAAGTCAAGAATTGAAGATTACCACAAACTGAGGTGCTGTTTACATGAATCCGGATTGACTTTCAATCCGGAATGAACTCATTCCATTTTAATACAAACCCTATTAAATGTTTACATGTGTCTGGAATGAGTTACAACTCGATCCTAATCTCATTCCGAATCGAGATTTCAATCCAGATCGAAATTTGGCTTCGATCCCATGCATGTAAACACGAATCGAAACTCATTCCGGAATGAGAAAGCGACCGGATAAGATAACATCATGGCTACTTTTCTCTTTCTTAAAATGACTTTTTGCAAAATCCAGTAGCTTCATGCACGTCTTTAAGCGTATTAGCGCGGAAAGAGCCGAAAAGAAAACTACTGCTATGATATTTACATCATTCGCCATCTTGGAATTGAAATTTCCCGCGTAAATTCTAATCCTCGAACCCATTTTCCATGTAAACACGGCAATGTGGATTATAACGGTCGGCAATCGACTATTTGCCGAACAAAAACACTAAATGGCCGGTTAATCTTATTCTGCAGGGACATTTTGACCGAGCAAATAAAATAGGCAGTTTTCATTTAAATGAAAGGTATACTATTTTACTAGTACGGTACTGTTCACAAAGCATAAACGCGAGAGAATGAACACAAAATATTTTCTTGGCTTTGCTGTGACAAGCAACAAAATCACATCATCGTTGGGACTGCTTGCCAAAAATTAAGTAATGTGATTGATCAAGCGAGAAGTGATCAGCACGAGCTATCAAATTGATAGCTTGTCAATTGAATGTAAATTTTGAAAAGCTGGCCGATCATTATTAGCCAATAGAGAGGTTAAGATACACCGGTTCCGGAGTACGAGTATCGCCATTTTGTTTACCAATTTTTGCTGATGTCAGCGTTTTTACCCGTAACTTCTACACGTTTCCCCGCGGTAAACCAAGGCCTACACGTAAACGACAAACGGGTACGGGTGTTGTCTGTTTACTACCTATGGCCGTTTAAATAGCAAAAACTTCAACATCTTACCCAAATAAATAATAAATTAATGCACATAAACAATCTATGGCAAACCGTAACAGCGAAAGTTACCATTCTCTGATCGGTTTTCTCACGGCGGAGTATCTTGGATTTCTTAAGTTACAAATCGTTCCCCGATGTACGGGTACGTGTATATCACCCGTACCCGTAAACCGGAACCGGGGTATCTTAACCTCTCTAATGTCCGAGCAACCACACAGTTGATCGGACATTTGTCAGACCCAAGCGAAATTGTTATAATCCACACTGAAACACGGATTGACTTGACATTTCGATCCGGATTGAAAGTCAATCCGGATTCCTGTAAGCAGCACCTGACACAAACGCAGTTCTTAATCCAGTCCCCATTTGCAATCTGTCGTCCGTGTTGATAGAAACGTCGCTTGCTCAAGCTCGCTAATATAAAATACACGTTGTGTTTTCATTTTTTTTCCACAAGCTTTCGGCCACTAGACTGGTCGGGTACAGCATCGATGAAACTACCAAGCTTGTATACCAACATATATGACTATTTTCATTAGTCTTGTACTTGTCGAGGACCACAGTCTGCACATTCTAGATTCTAGTGGCCGAAATCTCGTCAAATAAATAAATAATTTTGGTCAACGAATCGTGGTATTTTCAGGTACGCAAACGTATTTCTCCATCCTGTCACAGACGATGAAGCTCCTGGATACCACAATGTCATATACAGGTAAAAACTCATTCACAGGCTAAAACCCATAGAGAGGCCTGCGGAGGAGGCTAGTACAGTGATCAAAAGAAATGTAATCGAATTTCAGCGCGCTATTGTATCTGAATTACTCTGCGTATGACCGAGATATTAGAAAATATTAGAAAAGATCAGGCTTTTAGCTGTTGAATGATATCTTCTTCATGCCAAATGGATAAAAAATGAGCAAATACGAATCCGATAAAAAATGTTAGTCAGAATCGCATATTTTCACCGTGGATTTATTTCACTTCAGTAAACTACGCATACACATATGGCGTAAGCTATGACAAGTTCGTGATTAATTGTATATCTTTTGTTATGCACTGCTTTAATTAGGCACAGAGGTGAGAATATGCGATTCTGACTAACATTTTTTTATCAGACTCGTACTTGTTTATTTTTTCTCCGCATGGCATGAAAAACATGACCTTCAATAACTAAAAGCCTGATCTTTCCGAATATGAAAAACGTTTGTTCATACGCCGAGTAATTCACGTACAATAGCGCGCTGAAGTTTAATTACTTTTTTTTATACACACTTTTTTTTACTTATAGCTATAATAATGTAACAGTCTTTGCTAGTGACGCCGCGACACATCATTTGGCGTAATTTTGCTTGACTTCCACCATTTTGGCTAGCAAATGTCGAAAGCTAAATACAGTAAAAACATGCACAGCATCAATGGACCATTCCCCAATTAACCAAAATTTTGAACTCAACAAGTCTAGACAAAAATTTCATCACAGCTTGAAAGAGCATCACAAAATTAGTAATATTCCAAAGTTTCGTTGCAAAATGTTGTAAAATGCGGATAATATAGCCTTGCGAAATTTGCAATTTTCAGTCATTTTGTATTACAAACGGGAAATTGTTACCACTTCTGTGCGTAATACAAAATGACTGAAAATTTCAAATTTCGCAAGGCTATATTATCCGCATTTTACAACATTTCGCAACGAAACTTTGGAATATTACTAATTTTGTGATGCTCTTTCATGCTATGATGGAATTTTGTCTAGACTTGTTGAGATCAAAATTTTGGTTAATTGGGGAATGGTCCATTGACTGTCAAATTTCCCAAGTGTACTTTAAAATCAATAGAGTTCCAAATGGACGCTTTTATTCAGGGGCGGATCTTGCCTCATTTAAAGGGGGTGCATTACTACGGGGCATTCTACGGAAATTTTTTGAAATTTTAAGCCCTGAATGCCATTTCTTACATTCTGAGCACTACATTTATTCGTTAAATTTGTCTTTACGGTACTTGTATTTCAGGCAAAAATTAAGAAAATAAGTGCTACGTTATATGGTAACCAGTCGTATTAGTGCTTGAGTACTCGAAAATCAATCGTTTCAATATAATAAGTATAGCATTCACAACTCAAAAAGTGGGGAATCAAAACTTAATATGGAATACCTGAGTTTTCTTCAAGGGGGTACTGGGCACCATTAAGGGTATAGAGGGGTGCGACCCCCCTACAACCCGCCGTAGGTCCGCCTCTGCTTTTATTTAACTGGCTTAACACGAATTCAGAAATGCCCACCATTGTCTTTTCCCACCTCTGGCAAGGTCAGCAGAGAGTAACGTTGTTCTTTCTTTTAATCGTTAGACCAATGGATTTATCAACGATCAAGAAAAACATTGAAAGCGGGGTATGTACACTGTATAATGACCAGCTCTCTATCGAAAATATGATACTATACAGAGGTTAAGATAACCCGGTTTTTGCGGGTACGAGTATCGCCATTCTGTTTACCAATTTTTGCTGATGTTAGCTGACGTTTCCCCGCGGTATCTATGCATGGTCTACACAGGGTGTCCACGGGCCTTGAAAATCCTGGAAAGTCCTTGGCATGAATTGGAAAATAAATTCCAAGACTGGAAAGTCCTTGAAAATCAATAGAAGTCCTTGAAAATCCTGGAATTAATTTCCTTAACCTCCAACTGTGCCAACATTAGTGATTTTGATTAAGATTACTGATTTTTCCTAGATTTTTCCCAGTTCTAGGTCCTTGAATTTACTGAAAAAGGGCTTTGAAAGTCCTGGAAAAGTCCTTGAATTTCACCTTACCAAAGGGTGGACACTCTGTCTACACGTAAAAGACAAACGGGCATGGGTGTTTTCTGTTTACTATTTGTGGGGGCGTTTAAGTAGTAAAATACTTCAACATCTTACCTAAATAAACCAATGCACATATGCTCGTTAATTTTTCCCAAATCTATGGTGAACCTCAACAACGGTAAGTTGCCATTCTCCGATCGTTTCTTACCCCGGAATATCTTGGATTTCTTAAGTTGCAAGTCGTACCCGGTTTACAGGTACATGTGTATCACCCGTAAACCGGGGTATCTTAACCTCTCCTCTCTATTGTACTTTTGTAGGAGAGGATTTAACCTGTTTCCGCTTCTACTCTTTTACCATGTATTTTAATATCTTAGGCCTGTTTTATATACGTCGAATTGTGGTCGCGTCGAATGCAATTAAGACAATAGATAATGAGATGATAAACCTCATTAAACTTCATTATCTAGTGTTTGAATTGCATTCGACGCGACCGAAATTCGACGTATAAAACAGGCCTAATATCGCTTTAATTATGTGCAACAAATTCTGTTAAGGTGATTCGTTCAACAGGCGGTTTTCAACGAGATATGATGTTAATGTTTCAGAACGCTTTAATGTACAACAGTGCAGATCACGACGTGTAAGTGTTCTTAATTTGAGGTATTTAATTCTCATTAGAACTTGGGTAAATTATATATCAGACGATGGTACTTCGGATGACTCCATACCGGACAAGCTGAAAAATTGCAGGACCGCGCCAGAAATCCAAACTGCGACCTTAGTTTCCTAGGCCAGTGTTCTACCAAATGAGCTACGAGGTCAAGTCGGTTAGGTTAGATAGTTTTCAAACAATGTTCGTAGATAATTTTTTTTATTTGTCTTGAGTGCATGCTCTATACTTTGACCTGCAATCAGGCCCTCAAAAACTTGAATGAGGCTGATCACAGCTTATATTGACTGCATGTGTACTTCCATTATCGAACCATGGATAAAACACCTTTTTAACTATTCATAAAATGACCATGCTCACAAATTAAAACAGTTGCGTGGGGTGAACCATGCAGGGGAAATCGTATGATGAAAATCAATGCCCAGCAAAATGCACTTACAAGAGCCATCAAAATAATTTTTTAAAAGTTTTACTAAGGATCTAACGTTTCGTCGTTTCTTCAATTTGATTTTCTTATTTTATATCTTGATTCATTGATTCTAAATTTGTCTTGAGTCAACGACGAAACGTTACTTAGATCCTTAATGTACTGTTTAATAAACGAGCGCGCAGCGCGAGTGGCTTTAGACCTAATAAAACACGACCTGCGAGTTTATTAAACGGCTTCAAACACGACTACAAATTCAATAGATATACTGCCTTATTAGTATTCCTTATATAAAGAATACTAATGAAGATACGACTACAATAGATACTGTCTTATTAGTTTATATAAAGAATACTAATTAGGAGTGTTTTATCAGGTTTAAAGCCACTGCACGTGACATATTATGGTTGACATGATTTGCCAATAAGCTTATGAATCTTATGAATTATTAATGAGTGTTTGAAATATTTTTTACGTACATTATGCTGGGCATTGATTTTCGATAAGCTTGCATGCTTAAAGAAAAACTGCATTTTTATTTTTTTGTTTGTCAAACCACAACAACGTTAATGGAGTTTTTGTAGATGAAAAGTTCGAGCGAAAACTTAATATGTACAATGCAATCAACCAGCTGATCAATCAGGGGCGTAGGCCTTGCCCCCCAAGTTTTCAGAAGACACAAAAAGTGCCCTCCGGTGCCAAAGTGCCCTTTTGTCGTCGTGAAAAATGTTATTCAGAAAATAACCTGCAATTTTTGAGAAAAGTGCCCTTTCGATAAATAAATGTCCATGAAACAAATAAATTTAACTTTTGGTCGTGATTGTACGTTGCGATTCGAAATTTGGGCAAATGTATTATATTAAGCATGAAATCTGAATATGATGACCCCCCCCCCTCACCAACATTTCCGGGAAAATTTTTTAGGAGGTGCCCTTTCTATTATCCAAAAGTGCCTCCCCCCAACCTTCTGATGCTTCCTACGCCCCTGTGATCAATGGTAAATGCAGTAGAAAATAGGAATAAGAAGCCATTTTTTATTTTATAAATTTTGCAATTTGAAAAGCCCTTACTGTATATTCACATTATTTTGCGGAAGGTTTGAAATTTTACCCAGAAGGTTGAACACTTTTTGCAACCAGTAGCTAGCGGACACTTCACGAAATATTGGGGGGCGAAAATTTCAACATGTATGTGAATCTTTCAGAACATGGGTCACTTGATGAAATGAATTGTGCCATTTCACTGACATTAGATACTTTTTCTAAGATAGTAAATTAAGCATGTCGATTAGCGTTTATGACAATTGCGTTACATGGGTGTGATTGCATGCCTTGCCACTTGCTCCTAAACAATGCTTGTGAATTGTGACATTTGATACCAGACTGTTATACCCCCCCCCCCTGGTGGTTGCCACTGGTTACAACTCTGCTAGATCCTCAAGATCTTGAATATTTACGTTGACACAATGCGATTTGTCGCCGGGCCAATTTCAGATCTAATTTTATAATATTTAAAGGTGATCTACAGTCCGTATGTAAACAAAGCCTTTGTTTACATTTTTTGTGTCCAAAATATTGAGCTTTATTCGACAACTATTTATATTTTCAAGCTTCTGAGTATAATAAATGATCAAGAAACAACAATCAGGCTTTTCAAGAACTCAAAACATAGTTAAACTGTTTCCATCATAAAAAGTGGGCTCATTTGTGAACATGCGCAGATCGGACTGTAGATCACCTTTAAAGAGTTGGTAAAAGTGCACTAGCTGATATTCGTCAATAACACCAGCAAAATCTGCCGGATAAATCGCAGAAGGTAAACGAACTGAAAGGGAACATTGCTACAGGAGAATTGAATTGATTGTCTGAGACGATTTGAACACTTAAAGTGGCAATGCACCCTACTTTGTTATTTTACTCGTCAAGGGGAGTGTGCTGCCACTCAGTGGGTTAATGTTTCTTATCTTGCACTAGATACCGTATGGCTGAAGAGATGAGGGAAGATGTCATGGAACAAATTCAGGTAATTTTACTCAAGTTTTTAAAAATATAGGCTGTGTATTATGTATTGAAAATTCAACATGGAAATGTTTACCAAAAATATGATCAAACAACCCCTTTAACCGTTCTTCAAGCATACATTCTCACTGTTTCATGTTATTGACAGTATATATTGTCTCATTTGCAGTCTTATATTGCCACGCAACTGATGGTTCACTCAGACAGAGAATCTAAAATGTTAAGAGGTCACAAAACGGACGGTAAGTTTTTATTTTTAAGCTTCGATTTTAGTTGGCCGGTTCAAAAGCTATGTGGAACCATAGACAATCCAGAAGCAATGTCTTCTGGATTGTCTATGGTGGAACTTAAAGCCCATTTTCCGCTAGGCGAATTTGTTTGCGTGAAGTAAACTTTTTTTTTTGGGGGGGGGGATTTTTCTAGATTGGGTGGGTAAACTTTCTGAAGTGCAAATTTTTTTTTTTGGGGGGGGGGGATGCACACCCCCAGACAATTCGTCCATGCTCTGTCCCTTTCCAAAGCTTCACTCAGTAATGTTTTCTTTTCATTATAGTGTTTCATTTTTCCCTCTAAATTATCATCCAATAGAAGACAACTAGTGAGAAACCAGTAATTATTTAACTGCATGGCTACATGCAACAGAATGGCCAAGACAGAAGTGGATATATATAAATATACAGCTTTTAGAAAGAAAGTGCTGAATAAAGAGAATAAGATCATGCAAGACAACTCCAGTTAGGCCTGGTTCACATATGCCTGCGGTATCATTGTTTACAACTGTTGATGCATATATTCTTTTGTGAATTATTTGGCTGAACTCATGAACTGCTAACAACAATAGCCTGCCGACATACTGCAGGTATATGTGAACCAGGCTTAACACACATCTGTCAGACAAATCCAGATTAACTACAAAATCAAATGGCAATATTTTGTATGTGGTTTGAACTTTACATTTGTTATCACCAATGACAACTCTGGTTACAAATGTGACAACATTTCCTTTTCAATACCTTTTGGAAGAACTTTTTTTTACAATTTCCACAAATTACAGGTTGACCCAATGACTTTCAGGATCAGAATCTGTAAATAATACTTAATTAAAATACTGAACAATATTTACAAAATAGATGATGCAGTTTTTGATGCACTTTGTTCATCATTGTTTTTATCAAGGTTAACTTTCCCCGGATCATTCTTCGATCACAATAAAAGTTTAATTAAAGTGTGCCAAACTATAAACACAACTTCTCTCGTAATAAACATCCATATAAATCGGTGGAGAAATCTTCATTTTGTGATGACGATGCTGAACTTCTCATGTCTGAGATCACATCCTCCTGGACATTACTGGAATAAAAATATTGCTTTTAGAACCTTCACATATTGAAGAAAATGTGAGGTAGTAATGCAAGTTCACATTTTGTATTCTTTGCTACCCACATTGGCAATTTTCACCCTACTTCAAAAAAGGGGGCCTGGGTTTCTAGTCTAGGCAGCTGGGCAATTCCATGACATACTCATTATTAAATAGAAAAAATAATTCAAAGTTTTTATTAAAAAAAAATATGATTGTTATAGACAATCACTTTAAGTACAAGGAAATTGAACTTTAAAATTAAAACTATTAATTCTGAGAATTTTGTTGGCCCGAAAACTAATGACGTCATTATATTAATTATTCAGTGAGAATATGGAGAAATTTTAGGAATTGCTGATTTAAAGTTTAAATGTTATAAAAAAGATTTATTTCAACTGCAAGTAATATTAGAAGTCTTAATTTCTTAAAAGAAATATTTAAATTCAGGTTACCAAATATTTGTAGATAGAATTAGAGCCGTTAATTAAAGTGCAATTATTGTGTAACGTCAGTCACAAAATATTTCCTCCTTTTAATTTTTTTACAGAACTAATTTTCAGAATTTCTAAAATGTACTTTCCATCGTTACTTTATACTTTCACAAGCATTCCAAGCTAATTAGACCAAAAAAAATCTAGGCTCTTCCACAATATAACAGATGTTAAAACTTGTAACGTCAGTCACATCATTAATATGGCTTTAAATCAGTCCAATAAAGAAAAAGTCATCATATTTGAATTACATGAATAAGTGATGAAACTATTGACTTAGTAAAGCATTTTACGAGCGTGACGATATTAGCCGCCAAGCCCCTGGCAGGAAAGATGTAGTGATAATCCGTGGTGCTGATGGTGCAAAAAGTAAAATTCAAGCCCGGCACCTTCATATGTCCATTAATGAAGTTTATGCGTTGTTCACAGATGCCAATCCGACCATTAAAATTGGAAAAAGCAAATTTGCTGAACTGAGACCTAAACATGTGCTTCTGAGTAGTCAACTTCCTCGCAATGTGTGTCTCTGCAAGTATCATGAAAACTTTATCATGGCTGTGAACAGTCTTAATAAAGTAATTCATATTTTCCCACAATATGACCACCATCTGCCAGAAAAATTCATCTGTGAGTCTGCCACAGAAGAATGTTGGTTCAATGAATGTTCCACATGTAAAGATGCAAAGGTGCTCAGAAGTATGTTTTGCTTTGAAGAGGCAGAACCAGTTACTTGGCATGTTTGGAGAAAAGATGCTGATGATAAGCTGTGCAAGATGGTGATGGAGGGCACCACAAATGATCTTTTTGATCATATATGTTCAGAATTACCAGTATTCCTGAAGCATTGCTATGTAAAGAGAAGACAAGCGAGTAGCTACCAAATGGAAAGAGTCTGTTGGTGGTGAAGATTTTGACCAAACACATGCCATGTTCCAAGTGGATTTCTCCGAGAACTACACCTGTATGTTTCAGGATGAAATTCAAAGTGCGCACTGGAAGCAAGACCAAGTCAGCCTTTTAACCGCAGCGATTTGGTTTGATGGGAAGCTACACTCAAAGGTCCTTGCATCAGATAATTTAGATCATGGGAAGGATACAGTTGTAGCCTACATCGACTATCTCCTCGATACCCTTCCAACAACTGTGAAAACAGTCTCAATATGGTCTGATGGTCCTTCATCACAGTTCAAGAACAAATTTATCACTGCAGCCATAAAAGCACTTCAAGACAAACATCAAATCCACATCCAATGGAATTATTTTGCCACATCCCATGGAAAAGGGCCAGTCGATGGAATCAGTGGTTCAGTAAAAAGACAAGTATGGACAGCTGTCAGCAGAAGAACATCTATTGTAACTGATGCTACTTCGTTTACGGCAACTGCCAAAAAAGTATGCAGTGTGGATGTGGTGGAAATGACATCGGATGAAATAGATAAGAGAAATGCCACCCTCAACGTTGAAGAAGTATTTCAGAATGCACCTGCAGTAAAAGGTATCAAGTCAGTTCATTCCATTCAAGTTATTGATTCAGTCTTACATGCTCATACAACAACCAAGGCTGCAAAGGAAACAAACATACCGGTAGCACAAAGTACATTAGATTCAGAAAATCTCGATGTGTCCAGTTGGTGTGTCATACAATATGAGGATGAACTATTTCCCGGAGAGATAAAGGCAGTGGTTGCATGGTGATAGTTATGAAGTTTCAGTCATGGTAAAAGCTGGCAAATACTGGAAGTGGCCACAACAAGAGGACAAAATTCTCTATTCTCGAGACCATGTACTAAAAGCATTGAAACCGCCAGTGCTTATAAATGCACGGGAACACTATGACTTTCCAGATTTCAGCACCAACAATAGTGATGTATAAACTATGAAAGTATTGACATGGATGCAAGATATATATAAAACAGTACATTGGTGAATGAACTGGGGGTTTTCCATGGCTTTGATGACAATTTTAACTGAACATTTAACATTGTCAGTTGTAACGTCAGTACGTAACATCAGTCACACTATTATTAGCTCCTCACCCCCCTGGAATGATGTTTTATCAAAAAGTCAACTTATGTACATAAAGTTTTTTTTATTGTTAAATGATATAATATAAGGATTTTAAATTTTCTTTTTATGTTTGAAGACAAACTTTGACAACAAAAGTTTAATAAAATGCTTTGTCCATTTTGTGTAACATCAGTCACAGCCGCTTAAATGCCGAGAACAGTAAAAAACATAAATTTAGTTTGATTTAACTGTTACACAAGATAGAGGATATAGTTATCTTCAGTTTGTAAGAAAATGGAAAGTTAACATATAACACTCAAAAATATTTAAAGGTGATCTACAGTCCGTATGTAAACAAAGCCTTTGTTTACATTTTTGTGTCCAAAATACTGAGCTTTATTCGACAACTATTTATATTTTCAAGCTTCTAGAGTATAATAAATGATCAGGAAACCACAATCAGGCTTTTCAAGAACTCAAAACATAGTTAAACTGTTTGTATCATAAACTGTGGGCTCATTTGTGCACATGCGCAGATCGGACTGTAGATCACCTTTAAGGTGTTTTTGTGTGAAAAAATCCTTTAAATGTAACGTCAGTCACATGGAATTGCCCAGCTTGGAACAATATTCAAGATGTTTTAATATTCATATCAGATGTTGTATTTTGGTTACATACCTTTTTGATACAAGTGCAAAGACATCATCATCTTTTTCTCCACTTGGTGGGTCCCATTCATGAAGCTTTCTTCTCCAACATCGTACCTGACCAGTCCACGATCTTGTACTGCAGATTTGAAACTTATCTGGTGTTTTGGGGTCTTCCACATCTCGACAGTGACTGAATATTAAGATAATTCAAGGTTTATAATATGGTCATGTGGCCAAAAGTAAATTTTTTCGGTACAGATGTGTTGGAATCAGTCCTTGCAATTTTAAAGTCATCATAGAAAAAAAATTGCTGTCAACATTTTACAATTCAGATTGATAGTCCATTGGCAAAAGAGTGCTATCATTAACCATATTAACATTAACCAATCTATTATTTTACTCTGTCTAATGCCAGATAATTTTATCTTGCGCGAGAAGGGCATTGGAGCTCAACGGGTTAAATTTTATTTTCGGTCGCAATTGCACCTGACTAACAACAGAGTAAAGTTGTTGGCTATAACCTCAGTTAATTAATAGGTTTAAATAATCAGCGTTTCTTACCGTGGTTTTTCGGTGACGTATCTCCCATAAGCTGCTGTGTTTTTGCCAAAGTCTATTTGTTTCTGTCTTTGAGCAAGACGATGTTCATCAGTTAAAATGGGTTTGCATACTTTTGTTTTTTCACTTTTATCCGACAGGAGAAGCTTTCTTTTAAACCTAGATAGAACATATGTATCCACCATTACAATTCATCTGACAATGATTATTTAACAATAATACAAAAATGTGTACATACCTTTGTTTCTTGCCAAAATCAGGCATTTTATTCTCTTGTGATTCTTCAATGTCCATAAAGTCTGCCCAATTTTTTATTGGTTCAGGCGTGTACCTAACAAGTTTAGATTTTGATATTTTATAAGTACTCACAGATTTTTGGTATTACTACTATGTCTATATTAAAGTAATATAAAATTGAAACTTGCAACTGACCATGAATCAAATATATTTCCATTAGTCAATGGGGGGAACTCGTTGTTATTTTCTTTGTTTGTCTGTGGACTTGATTCATTTGAAAGAGGTTTCCATCCTTTCCATGAAGTTTGTTTTGCTGCATTTTGATCTGCATCCAATGCTGATGGTAATAATGGTGTGCACTGCAAGCCTGTTATGTCTTGAGATCTGCAAAGTTGAGATATATGGTAAATTACAGTAAAACCAAATGATTGTTTTATAACCCATCGAGTGGCAACAACCTCCCTTTGACAAGTAAAATTGTCTGGCATTAGACAGAGTAAAACAATAAATAGAGGATATTACACAGTGGCATGAAGATATGACTTATCTTCGAGTGGTGAAAACAAGATATTTTACAGCCAAGTGCAGCGAGTGAGTAAAATATTGTTTTTAACACGAGAAGATAAGCCACTGGTCATGTAATGTTCTGTTTATTATATAGTCCCAAGAAAAAATTGTGAAATTTCATGCTCAAAAGCAAATTGGAAAAAGTCATGTGATCGATATCTTCATTAGTGAAGATATGGAAACTATCTCACTGGGTATTTTTCAGTGCACCTATCAATGTTAATTGCCCCAGGGGAGGAGGTTGGGCATATGTCGGGCATTTGATCGACTTTTGTTTCCCCACCCTCGGGAATTTGATCGACACCATCTCCCGACGATGAGGATATTTGAATTAGCACCGTCTTGCATCCTGAGGAAGAGCACATGTTGAGGACTGGGACAAATGACTTTCACCACAAATATGTGTGCCCAACAGTGGGGCATTTGATCACATTTGACTGATATTTGCTTTCCCATGGTAGGGAATTTGACCAAAAAGGTTGCATGAAAAATCAAATGCCCCACATATGCCCGACCCACACACACTGGGGCTCAACATTGATAGGTGCATTAATAACAACAGCAAGCAAGTACTTTGAAGGATGTTTTATAAAACCGAATGGGATCATTCTACTGCAATACTCACAGTTTAATTTCAGGTAGTTGTATTACCTACAGAAGTTCGTGGTTTTTATTTTAGCATCAATACAAGGTTGCTATAAATGTATCCGTAAATGCTGGGGCAAATGAACGAATAAAAGTCTAGCATGGCAACGATGCCACATATAAAAGAATGCTAGCACCTAGCAATGTATTTCAAGAAAACATGACATATATACCTGTTAACTTTGAAGCGTTTCCGTTGTTGTAGATGTGTATAAGACTCTCTTTCGCTCGTTGTTCTTGTAACAGGCATCTTTGATGTCTTTTAAAACAGTGAAATTCCTTCAAAAGCCTCCCAAACCTTGACAAGTATTAAAACGACGTGTGCTTGGTAAAATAAATTATGGCGGCAAAGTGATATTTATTTCCAAACTGGCGCGTAAATTACAACGTCATCGCTTCTTAACCAATCAGTGTTCGAGTTACAGCATTCTGCACTGATCTTAGTTACATACTGGATCACGAGACTGTCCAGAAGTCATTGCGCGAAGAAGAACACGCGTTTCTACTTTTCTGGCATTTTTGTGTTGCTGTTGCTGTTGCTGTGTTTGGGAAAGAAAAACGTTTTAGTCATGTCAGGTCGCTATACTCGTCCTCCAAACAGTTCTCTCTTCGTCAGAAACGTTCATCCTGATACTAGGTAAGTTTTGTACGTCGTTTAGCCAACATTTTCAATATTTTTTTATGGAAAGCATTGGACGATGAGAAAGCATTCAAAGCACACGTTGCCACTTTTACACTACTTTATAGGCAAGAAGATATGAGACGGATTTTTGGGAAATATGGTCGAATTCAAGATGTTTACATTCCTTGTGATTACTTCACGAAGAAAGTTCGTGGATTTGCTTATGTACAGTATCCTTTTACCATAAAATTTCATTCAAAATGAAAGTAACAAAATAATTAATAATTTCACATTGAGGGATTGCTAGTATGGTGCCAGAGTGAATTTGAGTGTATTTCCGAAAGATCTTCGGCGCAGAACAGCGACTCGAACAAAGTTTGGCGCACATTTTTGGCGCAATCTTCGGCGCAGAAAAATTGAGAGATTCACCCTGGGTATGGTGGGAAATTTCTAGCCTGCTTGTAGCCTGAATTTGCTCTAAATTCAGTCTGCTGATCTAGAAAGTCAATTGTGTATAGCGACATCGCACTTAACTAGAGCTGTGCGGTTAGCTGACATATTTGGTCGGTACAGTTCTTTTTTAGCAACCGAAAGTTGCCACCGGGCATGCACAAAAGAACTGGTGGTTTCAGTTCCTGATATGTTGCTGCTTCGTGTTGAAAAAATAACAAAATATCTGCACAAACGAAGTCATTTCTTTTTTCATAATTTTATTTAGAATATATTTATTTCACAAGTCTATCCCATATATCAATGGAGATGGTTTTGTTTCATTTAACTACTTATAAGTTGTTTATTTTCATGTTATATTACAATTTCTTGAGCAAATGCTTTGAGCAAATACAGAAACCGACACCGGACCGAGGTTCTTTCATCCCCAGAAGACCGGAACGGGAAATTTCTGCAACCACACAGTATTAATTTGCACGAAAATAAGTAGTGTTCATTGATTGGTTAAAAAAACTTGCTTAAATTAATCTATTGGGTTGCAGTATATTTGGTTAAACTTGGTAAATTAATTCCATAATCAGGGCATGGATTATAGACAAAAAATTGGTTCGCAAATTTTTTCATAGAGATTTTAAAGACTTTTCACAGAACCTTTCGATTTAGTACAGTGGAAACACTGACAAAATGGCGGCCATTTTGTTGCAAATTTTGTGAATATTTTGAATGAATTTCAACCGTATTCTTCTTATTACACATCTCTTCGGTATAAAAATACAATAGTGAACACCAGTGGCGTAGCTAGGGGGAGGGGTGCCCCCCCCCAATCGCCACAAAAACCATTTTCTAAAAAATGCATAATCCGTAGAGAAATTGGGGGGGAGGGTACATGTTACATGCTCGAAGCTGAAACTGATTAAGTACATCTCGACTGAGGAAAAAGACGATATACTGGAGGAACTTGATTTGTAAAATCTCGTTAAAGCAGTTGTAGATACGGTTCCAAGAAGAATAGATTTAGTTTAGATTTTTAACTGTTAAATACATGTATGCATTATCATAGCATGAATATTTCTTTGCAGACTTATTCTGTATCATATGAAAAAGCAATGCCATTTTGAGAATGAGGAAATGGTGTCTCTTAGAACCTATAATGATTTAAATGCAACATTTCTGATCAAAATCGGGATTTTCTTCCCCCAGCATCATAGAGGGGAAATAAGGTGACACTGACCCCTCCTCCTGTTTTTCAAGGTGACTTTTCCAATTTATTTAATTCCGAGTAGAAATGTCTGGGACTGAAATTCATGTCTTCGATGTACTTTAAATATAATCTTCTGAATTCTGCTAGATTTCATCCCAAAAGTGCTTGAAATCCCATTTCAGGACTCTAGATTTCAAAATTTTTCATGGGGTTGCATGCCCCCGGACCCCCCTAGACAGTCTCATGCCTTCGGCGTGAAGTTCCCCAAAAAACTAAGCTCTGGCTATGCCACTGGTGAACACATTACAAAAAGAAATCTTAGTTTGATTTGTTAAATGAAATTAATAAGTGTGCATGCAACAACTGTAAGACAGAAGGCATGTTACAGAATTTTTAAAACTTCCTGTTTTCATGAATTTTACTTTAAGAAATATGTCGCCAATTGCGAAGTGCAAGATGGCAGAATATGACATTTTCGAAGCTCCTCATTATCATAGTGGTTTTTCAACAAGAAAGATACAAAAACTTACTTTCCTTTTTTTGTAAGGTCTATTTGATTTTGCACACAAAAACTTAACCAGACATAATGCGATAACAGATCACAAGACAGCAAAAAATGCCAGTTAGTTTCAGCTAAACAAAATAAAATAAATAGTTTCAGCTAAACAAAATAAAATATTTTAACAAAAGATTTTCTTGTAGGATTGGAGCAAAAAGGTCCTAAAAGTGAAAGTTGATAGTGTTTTAAAGAGTTGGCTTAAATCAAGCTTTACTATCAAACAAGTTTTTCAAAAGTCAATGTAAAGACAAAGATTGTTAGACAGACATTTTATAAAAGATAAAGTAAAGTTACATTTGAAAAAGTCAAAGCTTAAAAGAATCAAGTTCATGTAAGTTTGACCCACATCACATATAAAGGTGTCTTTAGTTAAGGGTTCCTTGGTAAATGCAACTATCTCTTGCCAAGCAAAACAGCTTTTTGTTGATGTTACAATTGCCTCCTCCAAATATTTGGCCATTGTAACCTAATCCATTCTTTCATTTTAAGAGTAAAATGTTAAGAGCATGTTTGTTTTTAAAAGAGTATAGAGGTAGTCACAATTCACAAAATTTGACATTATAATGTTTCCTGGTAAATATTTGCAGGACTGTCACAAGAAAGTAAGGCCTTGTGTTTTCTACTAGTCACGCTTGGTTTATGGTTTGAAAAGATTTAAATCAAGCTTCCAAAGGGTAGCCAAGTTAAAGAACAAAGTTTAGTTTGGCAGCAAAGACGAACAAACCACAAGTCAAAATGTAAAGTTCCGAATCAAAAAATCTTAAAAGGGTACAAGTGTATAAAGTATCAGAGTTATTATGAACAAGCAAAAGTGGCTCATTGAGAGACAGTAAATGGCATCAAGTTTTAAAGAAAAAGGCTTGAAAGAGTTTTTAGGTGAGTTGTAATATAGTTCTTAACCAGTTAAAGATTTGAAGATATCCGTGATGCAGAAGATGCTCTATATTACCTGGACAGGGTCATTGTGCTTGGTCGTGAACTTGAAGTTCAGTTTGCTGAAGGAGATCGTAAAAGTAAGTAGTTAAGGGATTAATGTTATTTTGCAATCAATCCCTTGACATTTATATGAAAAATATATGATGACCATATTGGAGGAGAATGTGCTTCAAGTACAAAAGTTTCTAATGAGATCTATAAAGCTAATGATAGAAATGTAGTTATAGTATATGAAGATATCTTTCCTGGCATCTACAAACAAACTAAGGACATGTTTTGGCATGGGTTTATCATGCTATTAAAATATTTAATACATTTTGCATTCTATTTATGTTTTAACTAAATATTTGACATTGTAGCTCCAAATCAAATGAGATCAAGAGAGTCTGGCTCAGGTTTTGGTTATGACAGGTAAGCAGTTTTCAAACAAAGCAATTCAGTTTGCACCTAGGCTGGGGCGGTTCTTGAAAAAACCCGAAAACCGTCAGGAAAACACCGGTTTTTAATCTATAAATAACACACAGTCACAGACAATAAAACCGTGTAGCATGTGTTTTTATTATGTGAAGAATTTTGGTTTTAGATGCTTAAATTAATATCGAAAGCTTACAGAGGTATAAAAATACAAGTAAGAAGACAATGTTAAAGAACGTATTTACAAGTTTTCATTTAGGATTAGCTGAAACATTAGCATTTTTATCTTGTTTTTTCCCAGTTCTCTGTCGTTTTCCGGGGGGTTTTCGGTACTTGGACTTTGGCAAAACCAAAATACTGGTCTTTCAAAAAACCCGGTATTTTCCGATATTTTCCGACTGGCTGCCATGAAGAATTATAAAGGCTAAAAATATCAAAATGCCAATGATTTAAATCAGATTGATTTTAACATAAACTGTCATCTATGGCTCAACATGGACAACACAAGATAAAGCTTTTATTGTACAAAGAAACACAGACTAGAACAAAAAATGTCTAAATAGAATAAATTTGTAATAAATTTTACTTTGTATTAATTACATTCAGGGCTTTCACTATTGCCAGTGTTTCACTGTAATACATATCTATTTGTCATTTCAGGAGGTCAAGAAGCCGCAGTCCAAAGTAAGTTAAACTTTAAAAGTTATAGATAATGAAATAGTTTATATTTGTTTGATACATTGTCTGTTTCAGGTCGCGAAGGTCTAGAAGTCGTAGCCCAAGGTAAGTTGAACATTATCTCTGTCAGAATTGATTAACATTTAAACTGGCCAATCTTTAACAGAATATATTACCAGTGCAGATTTATGTATATGTATACATATACTGTACATGCACCACACTTAATCTTTAAATACACAAAAAGTATTACATATATTAATTAACTCAAGAAAGTCATATAGAATTGTGCTTTTTAAATTCTAGATAAACTAAATACTTTATAGTTTATAATGTCTAATGATGAGGAAGACTGTTCCATATTTTTGTACCAAAAAAACTAATACTAAATTTACCATAGTTTTTATTACTATGCAAATAATAATGTCTCCTGGCTGGCAAGCCTGGTATTATATTTATAAATTTCTGAGATTGAGAGACGAATTTATCAGGACTGTAGGAAGAATTTGATAATGGAATTATACATTCTGAAGGAATACAATAATAACAATATCGGCATTATCCTTACATTTTACAAGTTCAAGTTTTTTAAATAGTGATGTTTTCTTGCAGACGATCTAGGCGCCCCAGACGCTCATATTCTCGTTCAAGATCTCGCACTCCAGACAAAAAACGTGGCAGGAGATCATCTGAACGTCATAGTCCTGATAACCATCGCTCACGAAGTGCGAGTAGAAGTCCATCCAGGTCAGCAGCAAGATCAGATGATCAACGTGAGGACGCTGGCGAAGGAAGTCCGAGAAAATCTCCAGAGTAATACCAAGAACAAAGTTTCAGTTTGCAGAATATTTTAAAACATGTGTGGATGATTTTTGCTTGAATAAGTTTAATGTATATACAACAGTAGATATTTTTGCTGTGTTTCAGGGGAATAATGGATGGTGATTTTTTCATAGTTTCTAAAATCATTACCGTTGAGGTCCATACTCTAGCTTCTCAAGCAATTTACAATGGTGGAAAAAATCACTATTCGGTGTATAGGCCTTCGCATTGCCTTGCTTTTAAACATTAAAATATTACTACAAGATGCCTAACCTGATGACTTGGCTATACTCTACTATTCAAGTACAAGTAGTTTTTTACTGTAATACCTTACGTTTCATATTCTTATTTGGACTAAAATAAAATAATAATTTTCTATAGTATTAAATGCACACCGTAGATTAAATTTTGTTTGGAGGCATATTTGCATAATTTCGCTTTTAAATGTTGCCAGGGATGTGTGTAGGGGGTTCAGGTTCTCTTCTGAAAGCCACGCACGCCCTCAAAAACTTGGCCTTACAAAACGGCTCTTTTGCGCTCGAAAATTTAATTTCTAGTATCTGGTTTTATAGAGATACCAGAAGACCCCAAACAACCCATAACATAAAAAGAACAAAACAATAGACACTCCGAAAATAGTTAACATTTTAACCAGGGTTTCAGTCATCTGAATGATGACTGAATATGACTGAAACCTGATGATGAACTGAAACCTAGTCGAAACGTTGATTAAAATGTTAACTATTTTCGGAGTGCCTATTGTTTTGTTCTTTTTGAAATTATTCAATGGCAACCGTAATTTCCATAACATAAAGTTGTCAAACATGTTGCGGAATTTTCGGTTGCACTTTTTGATACACCCTTGTATAACTAGTTGCCTTGACAATCGCCATCCTCGAAAATCTACTTTCCTACTGCCAGCCTCTTACACTACAGTGTTTTTATATAGACCAGTGGCTTAAAAGAGGGCTTGCCGCGTGCAGAAATTTTTTTGGGATCACTTTCCGTGGGCAGAAATTTTTTTGGGGATCACTTTCCGTGGGAGGCTTGGTAACCGCGACTTTTACTCAGGGTACATATTTGGATTTGTTGGGACACTTAATGTAAACTTGGGGTTATTCAGGTACTCATATAAAGTCTATTATACCATTCTGATTATCATTAACCTTTAGCGGGAAATATTTAAATTTTCCGGAAATATACACTAACGTGTGTGGCAATAATAGCCTGAAGTAAACTGAATGCTGAAGTACGAATGTAAAATCTATATATTAGAAGTTACTACAACTGAATTTCTGCATCGTCCTCAGCTTCCACAGTTTATAATGCAAAATCGATAAACGTGTCTTGTTTACATTTTGCATTGCGCGCAGGCAAATTTTGATCTTTGAATTTTGATACGCCTATAAGCATTATTAGACTTGTGGTTTGCATATTTGTCGGCTAGTATAAACATCACGTTTTCAACCGAGACTATCTCATCTGTGACTCACACAGTATTAGTAGTGCACAATATAATACAAACAGGGAATCTTTTAAACCAAATTCATACCTAATTGAATAATTTGAATGTGAACGTTTCTATCAGTTAAATGAACTGCGAATTAATAATATGTCTATTTCGAATACCATTACGCACGAACTTATGACCTTTATACTAGCATATATCTCAATATTTATGGTATATTTTGATCTATTTTATAAAAAATTTGTACGTAATGTGTTCTCTTTTTAGTACATTTTATTTATGGGTACAAAGCTTTCGGAAAGACGCGATGAATAATGCGTCAAAACCGCAGCAGTTATGTAAATAAATATAGAATATATAAGTTGCGTCAAAGTATTCGACCGCAATCTATTTCCTGCTGTACAGGCTTCCTATATTGCATCATAACAGGCGCGGTTACCAAGCTCCCAAAGAAAGTGATCCCAAAAAAAATTTCTGCAAACGGCTGTGCTCCGGCGGATGTAAACCGGTCATAAACCTGTGAGTCGAGCAGTATTTTAATAGAGAAAACTGGGCATGAAAGTTAACAGAACTCGAGGACGCGCGAAATATGTTTATAATTTTGCGTGACTGAATCTTTGCGTTGGCGATAGAAGCATTTACATGGATTTCTTGTTCATTTTGAAGGTTTGTTTAGAAGTATATAGTCTAAAGTTATAACGGTAAGCTATTTCTACTTACTGTATAGTAAATATCGATTCATCAACAAGCGTATCGATGTTTATACGTGTAACTACAGTATACTCATGACAGCGCGAAATATGATAATGTACGTATAATCTTGTGTGACAGAATCATTGCGTTGGCGAGAGAGAATCAGGAAATGATTGTGATTATTTGTGAGGCTTTATTCACGCTCTTGCAGTTTGGTTTCTAGTTCATTGTTAAAGTTGGTTTGAAAGCGTATAGATCTAAAATTACAACTATGTTTATATTAAAAGCATCTCTACTTGTACTTATAATAACTATTGATGCGTCAGCAATTCAGTTGCCAATCCTATATTTTCAGCACTAGCTAATAGGTTTCCGAAAAAGTTCAATTCATCATTTGAGCTGCGTGTTAGTCCAAAATTGTCTTAAAAGATATATTTTCTAATCATTAAATTAATTTTAAAAGTGACGCCAGAACGCAGGAAATGCTGTTTCAGAGGCCCAAATTTTAAATTTCCTGGGGGAGCATGCACCCGGACCCCCCTAATGATTGCGTGGACCAAGTAAACCGGTCACCCAAAACGCTGAATCCGCCCCTTTTATTATCCATGGTGGGACTAAGATTAGATTAGAATTAAGGCAATGTCTTATTAAGACATAGCCTTAAGCCCAGATCTAGCCTGCTCACAGACGTTTACACTACACAACGATACGATAACTTGTATACGTGCGCTCATTGGTCAAAAATTTATCGTTATCGTCCGGCTGAAAAAAATATCGCTCAGGTGAGCGATTTTAAAATAGTTATCGTCAGGGGCGCCGGAGCCACGGGGGCAGCGGGGGCAGCTGTCCCCGTTGCCTGAAGAGTGCAGGGGGGGGGGGCAGCACGGGGGCAGCAGGTTGCCTTTTTTACCAGAACTGCATTTCGAACGTCGTGCGTTTTTCACATGAATTGAAATTGAAAACTGTTTCTAAACAATTTATCTCATATTTGAATATGAATTCCTCTCAGAAACGTTGCCAATATTATCTGCTTTACCAATGCTTATCTGAGCTTCAAGAAATCCCAAATTTTCTGGGTGGGGGCATGCCCCCAGACCCCTCTAGAAGCTCCCATCTTTGGTGGTCGACTCGGTTGTTTCAGAATTCTAGGTATGGCCTGATCTGCTGCCCTGTGGCGCATACTTATATGTTAGTTAAACCATGCATACATATGCTTCAGGTAGCTGCAGCGACACAGACTTGCCAACTGGAACTTCTCCAAGTCCCCCGCTAAATATGTCATCTCCAGTTACACATCCTTACAGGGCATTAGCAACCGGGGGGCTGGGGGGGAGGGGGGCTGCAGCCCACACCCCCCAAAAAAATATTGCTACTAATTCTTTTTTTCAAAATCATGCAGACCTTTATCATTTAACCCATGACAAACTGCAAAGCTAAGAATGAAGATATTACCCATACTTTCCTGCAACGTATCCGATATATAGTTAATTAAATACGCCTTCGCCCATTTAGTACTACTAAATTGTAAATTTCAACATACTAAAACGCTGTTTTCTGACCATCAGAATTCTGTCAAATCTTCCGCCAAAGTCCAGGAAATGGCATTTCAGAGACTCTAAATTTAAAAATTACCTCGGGTCGTCGGCCTCGCTTTCTGCCTCCCCCCCCCCAATCGAAAAGAGCTTTCTACGGCCCTGCCTTAAAAGAGGCCAAGCAATGCATGAAGCTAGAAAACTCAACGTTAACTATATAATTAAAGAATCTAAATAGTATAAGCTATTGAAAAAAAAATGCTGCGAAAGAGAGAGTGATAAAAGAAAAATCGTACATGGTGTTGGGACAGAAAAAAAAACTTGCACATAACGATCCCAGAAAAAAATTCTCTGCGAGCAGTAAATCACCCTCCCCCCCCCTCAAAAGTTAAATGGTCGGCCCCTAACTGTATTAGCTACAATTAATGAAATATCCATTATTCAGCAAAATGTTAACGAACATTGCCCCCCCCCAAAAAAAAAAGAAAATTAAGGCTCAAGAGTAAGTGCCCTTTTTAACTTAAATAGCTGCCCCCGCCGCTTCATGTTGCTTCCGGCGCCCCTGGTTATCGTTATCATCTAACGATAATTTTATCATTTTCGTTGTTGTGTGGACACTAACACAATTTTTTTTGCCAATTATCGCATATTTACAATTTATCGTATCGTTATCGTTGTGTAGTGTGACCGGGCCTTTAATTTTCGGAAGAGATCGAGCTGTCGCGCCCAGTTGACCGCGCGTAAGAAGGGCTATGGGTACGAGAATGGTCATTCTCTTGCATGCATTCCCGGATGTGAGGATGTTACCACGTGTATTAAAATTTGGGTATTTGGGCAGAAAGATTGAAAAAAAATGAGATTTTATTTGCCGATAAGAATAAAAAAAAGCAAAAATACAGCAAGATATTTGCAGCATTTCAAAGGTATGTGAATATTTACTATGTTTGTTTTTATGATTCCAAGAGAAGTATCTTTCATTGTTATAAAATGTCAATCAGAAAATAGCCATAATTTAAATAGTTCCGGCCTCCGAGCATATATTATAAATGGCCGAATATTATTCAATTTTGGCGAATTACGAAAGCTTTCAGCATATTGATCGTGTCTGACTCATTGACTATTAGCTACAGAAAGTAATATATGCAAATTTATAGATGATAGAAATGTTGTTTTAGTGTTTAATGGCTAAATCAATGAATCTCATAGAGTTGATTTAGGTTCAAAAGTTGAATAGTGATTAGTGATGCCTATTTATTGGAAGTAACTTTCCAAACAAATTAATACAGAACAAAACATAAACAATGGTTATATATTCTTCTGTGATATTATATGGTATATGAATGGTTATACATTAGTTCATATGAAATATTCTTTAACGAAAGTGGCAAGGTAGGTGCTTGCATTGTCAATTCCGCCTATGGCTATGTGCAGAAAATTTTCACTGCTCTAGTGATGATGTAGCCTGTTTGCAAATGTTGTATTTCTTATGCCAAAAAACTAATGTCTGTAGTCTCAGCTGACCCAAGCGCCAAACTAAATTCCGCTATGGGCCATTCCATTTAATATACACCTCCCCCCTATGGATGAGAATTTCTGAGGGGGGTTGAAAAAGCGGTTTCTGAGGGGTTGTGTGCATCGGCATCTTTTGATCTTTGTGTTTTTTCTGAGGGGTAAGGCAAAAATTTCTTAATTTCTGGGGGTGTGTTTGTGTCGGCACTTTGATCTTTTTTTCTTAGGGGTTCAAATTTTATTGACCTCGTACATAGGGGGGGGG